TGATAAAGTGGAACCTTGACGATTAGAGAACGACGCCGGCTCTTTGCGGTAGGCTTTCGTCAAACTGCCTGATGTAGTTTCGCCATGTGTAATAAACGCTCTTACGACAAGAACGGAATAATGACCAAAGCTTCAGAATACTAAAAGATCCATATCATATGCAAGGTTCGTGCTATTGGACAAATGTAGCATCGGAGATTCTTTTTAGTTTCGTTTTCCCCTGAATAGGCGTCCCGTCATGTTTATAACACTAGCATTTTGTTCTCGAATTTATAGTTTAGACATTATTCCCCCTAGCTTGTTCAGACCCTTTTGCTACTGATCTACCAAACACCTCTTCGGGAGTCAGTGTTTTCAGGAAGACCGATTTCTAACCCCTAGCTATGCATCTTTGGAGGTTACATTAAAAAGCCGACACTGACAAAAACGGATTGCTTTGACTGCAGTATGCATGCTAACACTAAGTATCTGTTATTTTGTTTGGTTAACTCAAGGATATGTACATCATTTCGTAGTTCGAAACTGAGCTACTCGGGCTAAAAACAACAACGAGATGCAACTAGATATTTGACTTTATTTAGCTGGATTCTTTATACCAAATTTGAGGTGCCTCTTGTACATATTTTCAGCAACGAGGACTGCTCCTCACCGTTTGATGAACGTTTTCTTGTTTATGAGGATTTTCTTATATATACTGACCTTTGTAAGACTTTTGCTGTATTTTACATGAATTTTTTACTAAAAACCTAAACGTACCAGGAACTTGCAAGGAATACAATCTAGTTTTGCACTTTATACATGAATTACAAAAGGAAAGAGGCCATCGGAAATCTAAATATCGGGAAACTAAGACTAAACCAATCCCCTCCCCCCCACTCCCCGCTTGAATGTATTGAACGCCATTTTGCTTCAAACGCGTCTCAGGTTCTTCGGGAAGAACTTGGCTTGTCAGGCCATCGTCATCGGATCCCTGTAAAAGAAAGAGAGCGGGATCTTTGCTACATGGGAGTTTTTTCTGCTGCAGAACCGTCGATTTAACTATGCCTATATCTATCTATCTTCAGGTGCTCCACGTCCCCTTTGCCCCGACCTCCTGGCTTTATCGTTTTGAAGACATTCCTCACCCGACACCGCTTTGTGTTCAGTGCCAAGTGCTAGAAACCATTTATGCAACTTCGTACAATCTGCATTTCCTCATCGACCACCACCACCACCACTACCACACACTCTCCTCCTCATTCACCATCTACAGTAGCTCTACTGTTTACCTGAGATTTTTCGCATATTGTAAGTGCTGCCTTATTGATATTGGTTGTATCGGTGAAGGGAAGTCGCGTGTTCGTAGCTCCGCCCCAAACGGCGCTCGTTCTCTTGAGGCAAGGTTCCACTTTTCACCTGTCAAATTAATATAAATAAACAAATATATAAATAGATATATACATTTTACTCATTTTGTCCAGTTTTGTATAATACTTTTTGTGAACTTTTGGTTTTCGTTTCTTAAGAGGTATCATTGCAGCTGTGTGTGGGACATTATGAATGAAGATGTATCTGGGAGACTTCTGCATGTTTTGTCATGTTTTATTTTTATTTCCTCTATATCCAGGTTTATCTGGAGAATCCTACCTTTCTTAGGACGTTGTAGACAATCAGTCACATGCTGGGTCCAGCAGCTGCGGGATTGTCCTGCGGGCTGCAAAACTGTGTTTCGCATCTAGTGAATCAGTCTTATTTTTATTTTTTTCTCTTGTCCATTTCATGGAATTATGTGGCTGCTCAACCTGAGATTTGAAGTTTACACACATACATTTTACACACATTGCATACACGTACACAAACAAGAAACATTCACTCACACCTCGTGCATATGGCCCCTTTGTTGCTTTTCCAAGGTGAAGATACATACCTTGAAGGAAATTATGCTTTGACTAACAAATCTCTATAACATCCATGAATGTGAGAATGCAACACATTGCAATAAAGCACCATGTAAAAACAGTACTGCCAGTGCCATCATTATATTTAAGGAAGCGTTTTATGATTTATGATTGTTTTGAATTTGGAGGAACAACTGCTTATAAAGGATACTTCATCATCTGTTTTTTCCAACTTGATTTATTAAGTCGTCTTAATTGTAATAGTCTTATTTGTGACTGACTGAAATGAACTGGCGCATGTGAGTCAGTAGTTTGAGATCCATGTTTTACTGGTCATACATTATTATTATTTCAAATACTGTATATTTTAGGGGTTTTTCCACCTTTATTATATAGGACAGTAGAGATAAGACAGGAATACATGGAGAGCAGAGAGAGGGGGGGAGGATCAGCAAAGGTCTAAGGTCAAGCCGTGCATTGAACTCTGGTCGCCGTGAGCATTTCAGTGATATATATATATATATATATATATATATATATATATATATATATATATATATATGTGTGTGTGTGTGTGTGTGTGTGTGTGTATATAATGTAAATACTTATTGTTATATATCTTATCTTTTTTGACATCCTCAAAAAAAAATGTAAATACATTTTAAAAATGGCTCACATGAGTGAATTGGACAACAATCAAGCTTCACTAGATATTTTTGATTCACAAAAAAAGTTTCAAAACTTAAAAGAACCAGCTTAAAGGAGTCGTTTGTTTTAGAATCAAGCTCAGTTGGTCATAATCAACTTTTTGATTTACTAAACAACCACCTCATACGTATGAGTCATTCGTATGAGGTGGTTGTTTAGTGAATCAAAAAGTTCGGCTCATATTTGCTCAAGATTCAAACTTTGCTGGTCATGACAGAACTTTTTGACTCACTGAAAAGAACTCGCTTATGGGAGTCATTCATTCAAGAGTCGAGCTTCGCTGATGATGAAGAAACCTTTTGATTCCGTAAAAAGAACCAGTTTAAAGAAATCATTTGTTTTAGAATCAAACTCAATTGGTCAAATGAGCTTTTTTATTCACTAAAAAACTGGCTCATTAACTTTATTTACTCAAGAATCAAACTGTGCTGGTCACGATGGAACTTTTCCACTCACTCAAAAGAATTTGCTTACGGGAGTCATTCAATCAAAAATCAAGCTTCGCTGCTGAAAAAGCTTTTGCTTCACATGAAAATAATGAATCTAAAGCAGTCATTTGTTTTAGAATAAAGCTAAATTGGTCATAAAGAACTTTGATTCACTAAATAACTAGCTCATAAACTTTATTGGCTCAAGAATCAAACTTTACTGGTCATGACAGAACTTTTTACTCCTTAAAAATAACTTGCTTATGGGAGTCATTCATTCAAGATTTGTTGGTGATGAAGAAATCTTTTGATTCACAAGCTTATTGGAGTCATTTGTTTTTTAATCAAGCTCACTTGGTCATAATGAACATTTTGATTCACTGAATAACCAGCTCATAAGAGTCATTCGCTCAAGAATCAACCCTCACAGTTCATGATCTAATTTTTTGATTCACTAAAAAGAATCAATTCATAGGAGTTATTTACTCAAGAATGAAGCTTCACCAGTTGCTTAATGATTCACAAAAAAAAACAGTTTAGAGCTATTCAGCTTTCTTGGAACTTTATTTAATTACTATTATAGTCTTACATAATTAGTCATTCATTAATTTAATTAATTTGTTCTTTCAAAACCTCTTCCAGTGGGTCAGGGTCATCAGAACACTTCATTATTTTGATTCCAGCATAAACAAAATGTCCATCCTATTGTGCAGATATTACCAGCACACAATGTAGATGTAGAAAATCAAAGGCGTGATGATAAAGCTGTTCCAGCACCTTCTTTCTTTCATTGTGAGGAGTCTTTATGTTGAGAGTTCATTTGAAAAGCTTGAATTTTTTCAGATAGGGCTGCACAGTCTCTTTAGGGTACGGTTTCAGTGCCAAACATGTGGGGATGTTCTCAGGCTGCTCCATCCACAGTTTGTGTGCGATGTCTTTTTCCTCTAGAGTACTGGAGAGAGTGGACAGAGAGGCCTCGTCTGGTGCCTGTGAGGGGAAAAATATAGATTTTTTTTGTTTAAATTGTTGTTTTACCATGACAATTTGTTCAGTCCACTTTCATTTTAAACCAGACGATATGTATATAAAAAAGAAATAGCTTCAAAAATAGTCCCATATTGGCGAGGCAGTGGCGCAGTAGGTAGTGCTGTCGCCTCACAGCAAGAAGGTCACTGGTTCAAGCCTCGGCTCAGTTGGCGTTTCTGTGTAGAGTTTGCATGTTCTCCCTGCCTTCGCGTGGGTTTCCTCCGGGTGCTCCGGTTTCCCCCACAGTTCAAAGACATGTGGTACAGGTGAATTGGGTAGGCTAAATTGTCGGTAGTGTATGAGTGTGTGTGTGAATGTTTCCCAGAGATGGGTTGCGGCAGGAAGGGCATCTGCTGCGTAAAAACTTGCTGGATAAGTTGGCGGTTCATTCCGCTGTGGTGACCCTGGATTAATAAAGGGACTAAGCTGACAAGAGAATGAATGAATGAATAGTCCCATATTTATAGGGTATGAGTATGTATGGAGCATCTTCAGGTATCAAAAAAAACTGTTTAATTATCAAGTTATACCAGAGTTGCTGTTTTTTTTTGTTTTTTTTCACCAAATTTTGTGAATTTTTCTTTTTTTTTACGATAAACAGTATATTCAAAGTCAAACCTACTGCCATTTCTGCAAGTATAATTCATTTGTGCTAGAAAATGTCACTGATATTATTTTGTTGTTTTCTTATAAATATTTTGATTTGACAAAGCAATCATCAAAGCAAATTCAATTAAGTTCCATTCATTCCACAGGCTAAACTGGTAAATCTGAAATTACGTTTCTATGAACTAAAAACTACTCAAAACACTTCAGAATGTGTGTATCAGGGGTGTCCAAAGTCGGTTCTGGAGGGCCGGTGTACTGCAAAGTCTAATTCCAACGCCAATCAGACACACCTGGGTTAGCTAATCAAGCTCTTGCTAGGCTTTCAAGAAGCATCTATGCAGGTGTGTTGAGGTAAGTTTGAGCTAAATCTATAGACACCGGCCCACCAGGACCGAGTTTGGACACCCCTGGTGTATATAGACCATTTTCATTTGGTGAAGTTACTGCCCATGAACATTTCCTGCTTATTGTCAAAGTAGTTCAAAACTGTAACAAAAGGCAATTTACTATCTTAACGGTAATCAAAAATATGTGGACATTGATTCTTTTAAGCTATGAAAATTCAAAATGTAATACAGAGAATACATTAGGATCATTGTTATTTAATATATCCTTCAAAATGGTGTGTGTACGTAAATGTTTGAATCTTAATTCATTCTGTTAATACTGCTGGCAATCAGAACTGACCTGCAGCACTACTTTATGCATGCTGTCCAGCTCCGCCAGATACTGCTGAGTGTCAGGGTCACTGTAGTGCAAATGAATGGCTGCAGTGGCCGCGTGACAGGCTTGCGTTATAACCGCTCCTAAAGGCCACGATAAACTGTGGATCAGGTCTGACCGGACGATCACATACTGAACCAAACGCCTGGACGAGCCGCTGCCCGGCGTTGCCATTTTGCTCAACGTGGAAAAAAATCGCCAGACCGGAAATGAGTCGCTGTTTACGTTCCGGGTTAAATTACTTGGGATTGGTTGCCCTCTAGCGGTTCTTTTAGGACACGAAATATTACAACGTAACACTTTCTACAAATAATACTACATGAAACTGCTGTCATGTTGGTATAATACACTCAGTTATTTCGAACTGCCTGAGGTAAAAATCTACAATTTCTCTAAAAGAAAAAAAGTTGCTCATCACAAAATTTTCAAATAAATATACAGAAAAGTGCAGTTTACATGTTAAAAATACCAGTTTATAGTTACATATCAATTACAGACTGAAGTTTTAGCTGGTCTTCTAGGCTATATACAGTTGAAGTCAAAATGAAGAGCAGACCAAGGACATATACAGTTTTTTTAAATATTTATATATATATATATATATATTCCTTTCTTTTTTTTCTTTTGCGAAATGCCTTATTTCTATTAGTTCGGCAGGAAAAATGCCATATTTATAAATTTAAAAAAAAAGATAATAATAATTTAAGGTCAATATTATTAGCTCCATTGTGATTTCTTTCTATTTTGTCTAAAGAACCGTAACCAAGCTTGGCTAGTTAACATATTTACATTTTACGTTGAATACTAGTATTTTGTAAAGTAAGTAGGAAAATAGTATGTGCAGTCACCATGGCAAAGAAAAAATAAAAGATTAGAAATTAGTTATTAAAACTATTGTGTATTGTTTATTGTTATTAAAACTATTAGTTATTAAATATATTATCTCCATTAACACTTGAGTAATATTTTTAAAATTTTACAGAAGGGATAATAATTCTGACTTCAGCTGTATGTACATACAAAATGCACGTGGATTTACAGATGAAGTCAGAGTTATTAGCCCCCCTTTGAATTTGCTTTTCTTTTTTTGAATATTTCCCAAATAATGTTGAACAGAGTAATTACATTTTCACAGTATGTCTAATAATATTTTTCTTTTAGAGAAAGTCTTATTTGCTTTATTTCAGATAGAATAAAAGCAGTTGTTAATATTTTGAAACCCATTTAAGGTCAATTATTAGCCCATTCAAGCTTTAAATTTTAACTCGCCTAATTACCCAAACCTGCCTAGTTAACCTAATTAACCTTGTTAAGCCTTTAAATGACACTTTAAGCTGTACAGATGTGTCTTGAAAAATATCTAGTCAAATATTATTTACTGTCATCATGGCAAAGATAAAATAAATCAGTTATTAGAAATGAGTTATTAAAACTATAATATTTAGAAATGTGTTGAAAAAAATGTATTCGTTAAACATAAATTGGGGAAAAAATAAACAGGGGGGGGCAAATAATTCTGACTTTAACTTTATAAAAATACAATTACTTATATTAACAACAACAACAACAACAATAATAATAATAATAATATAAAATTAAAGCTAATTAAAAATATACAAACACATTCCAATATTAAAATAACCTGTTTTGCCAGACTGGGAGACTGGATTAAACAATTCAAGACCAGCAAACCCACTTAAACCAGTTTAGGATGCTTTTTTTTCTACATTTATAAACAATAGTATTAATCCAATTATTATTAAATAACCACTTTCTAAAAAAATGACATTTTTAAGCATATCTTACTATTTTACTTACAAAAATAACACATAATTTATCATTACTTTTCTTAAAATGTAACTAAACAACACTTTTAGCTATTTTAAAAAAGTTACTTTATTTATGTTACTTTACCGTAACATAAATAATGTTATGTTACTTTACTTTTATATTAGATTCTAATATAATACATTTCCGCAATACTAAAGTTTTTAAAAAAAAGAGACCACAAATAAAGGTCTGTAACATATTTTATTTATCCAAGAAACCTTGTATTTTCTCATACTAGTGATGTAAAAAAGTATTTTTTCTCATACTAGTGCCCAACAATTGAATAAAGAGTGGAATGTCAGCAAGTAACGGTTTAAAGATACAAATTAAACAAACACAAAACACAAAAAAATCATTAAAATGAGCTGATTCCCATTGCTCGTCTCAGTTGCTCAAATGTAAGCCAAAAAGTCAAAGACCAGGGAGCCTGCAAACAAAAGCACAGTTAGAATAACAACACATGAGAATAAAACAACCTAAATAATTAAACATCACATTACCATTCTAAACCACGTTGGAAGAAATCCTTTATATAGAGAAAAAAATCCTTCTCTTCGGACCGACTGAAGCAGACAGTCAGTAGAATTTCTGTAGAGAAGACCCCTTCAAACAGAAGAATAAAACCCCATTATAAACAATATTGTGTTTAATATATTAAAACGAAACACAAGACACTAAACGAACCTCCCGTTTGAATCCCGAGGCTGGTTCATGACTCTAGTTTTCACCACGTCCGCCGGTGTTCCCATAGTAGCAGCAACCAATCCCGAGCATATGCTAGGAAATGTTTTGAAACAGACTATTAAACGTGATGTTATTACTAATGTCAACATTAGCGGCGCTACAGAATTTCACCTTGACAATCCATGACAGATGCTGTTGTCCGGTATGGAGGTGTTTCTCAGCAGAAAATGCTTCACTGTATCGTACGTCATGAGATCTAAAGATTAAATCAAGATGAAAAGGTTGATTTTGAAAATGTCAGTACACTGTAAACAAATCCTGGCTGCATTCAATTTTTAAGCTGAATCAAATTCACTGTATGAGTCCATTGAACTTATATTATGTTAAACAGACTTAAAACAGCTTGCGTAACATAAAATTAACTTGGAACATGATTAACTTTGTTTAATAAGTTACAATGAATTAAACACATTTGCTGTCATGACTAATTGATCATATTGTATTTTACAGTGTAGATGTTTGGAAAAATTGTCACCCTGGACCACAAAACCAGTCTTATGTTGCATGGGTAAATTACAATAGAACTACATCAAGTCAAAACGATTAATTTCAAAAATCATTTGAATATTTAAGGGGACCTATTATGCAAAAAACATTTTATAAGGGGTTTAAACAGCTGAAAGCACACTTCATAAAAAACAGTCTGCAGAAACACTTTGACATTCTCATGCCACTGCGGGGGGTCTGCGACCACATGAAGGCTGTGACGGACCATACACGTGCGCTTGACGCAGAAATATAAATCAGCCTTTAGAGTTTTGAAACTGCCAGGTAGCTCCGCCTTCTTTTGAAAAGAGGGCTGGGAACACAACCTCATTTGAATTTAAAGCAACAATAAACAAAAATGGCACTATTTGGATCAAAGCCTGAAAGGGGTTTGAAAGAGTTCTAAAACATTATTTGTGTGTTATTTTCGGATTTCGTCTTTCGGATGAGACATTAAACCGAGGTCCTGACTCTCTGTGGTCATTGAAAATCTCATGGCACTTCTTGTGAAAGAGCAAGGGTGTAACCCCGGTGCCCTGGCCAAAGTCCCTCTATCGGCTCACCGAATTGGCTCTATCACTGTCACTTCACTCCACCAATAGCTGGTGTGTGGTGAGCGCACTGGCGCCGTTGTCCTGTGGCTGCCGTCGCATCATCCAAGTGGATGCTGCACACTGGTAGGGGTGTGGAGAAACCCCCCCCTCATGATTGTGAAGCGCTTTGGGTGTATGGCCGTACACAATAAATGCGCTATATAAATACACATTACATTATTTTGGACTGAAACTTCACACACTCTAGGGACATCAGAGGCTTATTTTACATCTTGTTAAAAGGTCCATAATAGGTCCACTTACTAAAAATAATCTTCCATGAGAACATTTGTTGTCAATTTCCCACTGTAAATATATCTGATTAATGACTTAATTTTTTGGATTAGTAATATGCATTGCCAAGAACTTAATCTGGACAACTTTAAATTGGATTTTCTCAGTATTTACATTTCATTTGGCCAAAAATTGCCCTATCCTAAGAAACCACACATCAATGGAAAGCTTATTTAATGACTTTTGAGATGCTTTTTTTGTGGTTACGTTTATGACTTCTGTACCTCCTAGATTGACCAGTGCGGCTCTCTGAACATTGGGAACCCATCCGGCCCAAAGACCTCGTATTCCTCCTTGTGCGACGATCTTTGTAAAAGCATGATAAACTCCACGTACCCTGTCGATTAGAATGAACACACACGTTACTGGTAAAACTGGTTTGGGATCAGTAGGATTTTTTAAATGACTTTAAAAGAAGTCTGTTCTGTCCACCAAGACTGCATTTGTACTGCAAAAATACAGTAAGGGCACGTGTCCACTGAAGCGTTTTTGGAAATCTCAGCACTCATCTAAAAAATGCTCAGTTGTGATCTTGTCTAAGTCAGAGGTCTTAAAATACGCAGACAACTTAGTACTTTAAAAACACAGTGTTTTCATTGACTAACAATGTTTGTAAACAAAACCAACTTACAAATACTGTAAAATTGTGGAATATTACAACAAGTTAAAATAACTTTTCCTATTATATGTAGTTTTAAAATCTGCATTAAATCACAATTTGTCATTTTTACTTGTCTAGCAGGCATTGTTAGTCTTATGGTGAACAATTAATCCAAGTTAATCCACTGAATAAAAAAGTCTGATTTGGAAATATTTCATTAAATAAATCACAGTTTGCTTCCACTCTGAAATGGCAATCCTTCTCTGATGATTAAAGAACTGCAACTCCCAGCATGCACATCGCACACACCGGTTCCTGCTTTCTGCTGATTGTAAACACACACAGCTGAAGCTATTCATGGACGGATTCAAAAACTATATAAACAACACTCACACACTCATCTGGGCTGAATTTTGTTTATCTGTTTAGGGTCCCACTTTATATTAGGTGTCCTTAACTACTATGTACTTGCATCAAAAAATAAATACAATGTACTTACTGTGTTTATAATGTATTTGAGAACACTTGTGGTGCTTTTGAGTTGGGATATAGGTTGGGTTATGGACAGGTTTGGTGGTATGGGTAGGTTTAAGGGTGGGTTAAGGTGTAAGGGATGGTCAAAAGTGTATTTACAAATGTAATTACAAAAGTTAATTACAGATGTAATTACATACATGTATTTAATCAAGCATAAGTACACAGTAAATACATGTATTTACACAATAAGTACATTGTAACAAACTATTAATTTCTGTGTAAGTACATATTAGTTAAGGCCACTTAATATAAAGTGGGACCCTGTTTAGTGAACTTTACAAAACGTTTCCCTTCCCTTGTCTTGTCTTGTTTGACCCTTGCTTTGTCTGTTTACCTGGCTTGCCGCCATGGTTGACCATTCACCTGTTCTTCAACTACGATTCTGGATTCTCTGTATATCTGTTTGACCCTGTTGAGCATTGCCTGCCTGACCATTCTTGTAATAAACCTGCATTTGGGTCCTTTGTTGCCAGTATCCTTCACATAATACCAATGCCAGTTAGACCGCTTTGGCAAAAATACTTACAAACTACTAATTCATTCATTCAATCATTCATTTTATTTTCGGCTTAGTCTCTTTATCAATCTGGGGCCGCCACAGAGGAATTAACTACCAACTTATCCAGCATATGTTTTTTTACGCAGCGGATGCCCTTCCAGCTGCAACCTTTCACTGGAAACCATCCATACACACTTATTTACACACATACACTACAGACAATTTAGCTTACCCAATTCGCCTATAGCACATGTCATTGGACTGTGGGGAAAACCGTAGCACTCGGAGGAAACCCACACAAATTCATTTATTCCTGTGACTCAAAGCTGTGTTTTTAGCATTATTACTCCAGTCTTCATTATTATTAGTACTCACCAATAAATTGATATGTTATCGATCTTCACGATTCTTCACAGTTTGGTTAAAAAATTAGGACCAAAATTAAAGCATTTATTTGAAATCAAATCTCTTGTTTTGTACATTATAAATGTCTTCACTTCACTCTTGAACAAATTCATTTAATTATGAAATTTAATTAACAATTTCATTTGGTAGCATTTTATGGTTTAGTATGCCCTAAAGTTTTTAACACTGATAATAATATCAAGCCATATCAGAATTTCTGAAGGATTGTGAAGGACACTGAAGACAAACCAATCCCTTTTAAAGTACATCCAGAAAGAAAACAGTGATTTTAAATTGTTAAATTTCACATTTTGTTTCGGTTTACTGTTTCGTTGATCAAGTAAATGCAATCTTGGTGAGCTAAATAGGCTTCTCTTCAAAACATTTAGAACAAGCAGTCTTTTAGAGAAGACTTATCAGTCATTATTCATGTCTCACCTCGGCGGCTTCCCTTCTAGTCGTCGCCTGCCCTCCATTTGCATCTGAACTTTCACTAGGTCAGTTGGACTAGCTATGAACTGACCCAAAGCACCTGATATCATACTGGCGATCACTGCTTTCCTGTGAACATAACAGGACACGTGCTGAGCCATTCTTTAATCACTGTTCTGTTCCATTTCAGACATGTTTTCTTCCCTCACCAAACTGGAAAAATGCCATCTTCAGATTTTCCCAAGACAGATTCCCTCATCTGTTCGTAGGCCAGCATCCTGCCGCCTGAATACACTGAAGATGAGGAATTTCAAAGGTCAGAAATAGATTTAAAAATGTCTGTATTTTATCTACAGTACATACACAAGTTCCATATATTAAAAACACAGCTTTAAAGCAAATTGATTGATGCCAGGCACATTCGGATTTGAAATAAACTTGAAAACTATTGCAGATCAATATTCAATACCTTTTCTGTTGTGCTTCAATATAATTAGAGCCGGAACCACTTGTGGCATTATTTAGAATCACCCCAAAAGACTCATGTTTCTCTGCCTCAAAGTGTACTATTCTTGCCTTCTCTTCTCTTTTAGCATGTAGAGCAATTCAGCTTTAAATGTAAAGATAACCTTCCACCCACCGTTATTCAATGGACCAGAGAGATAATGTCTTGTCTTTACCTTGAAAAAATGTTATACTCTTTAAGAGGATCATGTAAACACTTGTATCAGATATGGCACCCATTTATTGATTATGTTGATCATATTGAGTAATACCCTACAAACATATGTATATATAATTTATTTATTTTTAAAAAATTATTTATTTGGTTCCACTTTATTTTGATCATCCGTTTATTGAATTTAAGTTACATTGCATCTACATACCAACTAGTTCTCATTAGATTAAAAGTAGACTGTTAAGTTGGGGTTGGGGTTAGTGTAAGTTGACATGTACTTGCAAAGTTTCTTATAGTCAGTTATGTATGTTGAAGAAGCAGTTTCAACAGATATTAAGCAGACAGTCTACTAATACGCAAAAGGACCATCAAAATAAAGTGTTACCTTTTATTTATTTACTTTTGTTGTTGTTGTTATTATTATTATCATTATTAACATTGCCATGTTTCTCCAAACACTTGTAATTTTAGACTGAAGCGATCGACAGCTATGTTTTGTTCTATTCTTTGTGAGGGTTATAGGGTTTGTGAATGGATATATTTAAAAATTAATAAAAAGTTTAAAAGTCTTTTTACTTTTTAAAAATTTAAATTTTAATTCCGCCATTATGTTCCAAATACATATGATTGTCTTTCTTCTGTCAAACAAAAGAAAAATATATAAAAGAATATATTTAGAAGAATGCTTGAAACTGGTAGCCATTGACCTTTTACTATATTGATGTCAGTACCAATACAAGTTTCCAACATTCTTCAAAATATCTTCTTTTATGTTTAACAGAAAAAAAGACTTTCATAAAGGCCTGGATTAGGATTTTTGACATGATGTGCATTTGTGGTACAACAGGAATTCCAGGTTTATATATTTATCATAATCGTCCAGTTTATTTTATTGATTTATTTTAATAAAATAAATTAGCCATATTTTAGCCATGACCAGGGGTGGACTTAACCAATAAACAAGGTAAGCAGCCGCTTAGAGCTCCAGGAAATCTAGGGGGCCCCAAATAAATACCTAGAAGTATAAATGATACTATAAATTATATAACACATTGTTTTCTATCATATTTTGTACAGTGAAAAATAGTTCATTTATTATGTTTAGTTGTGAAAGTACAAAAGGTGCACTTTAGAACTTTTGGGCCCCTTGGCTGGAATTTTTTAGGGCTCTAAAATCATTAAATCCGCCCCTGGCCATGACTCACCATTATAACAGTATTCATACTGAATAATTATTACTAATTTAGCTTTTTTTTGCACATGCAGCTAAAGATTAAGTTAATTTAGATTTTGGTTTGTGCATTGATGTAGTTGTGAATAAAGTTCATAACACATTACCTATATGTCTGTAGATAGCTGGTGTGACCCCTTGCCACAGTTTCAAGGGCCCCTCTTCTCGCACTATACCTGCAGCTGTGCTCAACATGCCCCTGTATTTCTGAGTCTGTACGCTTCCACCATTCTTTCCAGATCTGCCTTCACCCTGGATCTGGAGTCTGGTTTTGGTAAGATCCAGGGGGAATGTGACTAAACAAAAACATTATTAATAAAACAGAAAGTAGACAAAAAAAATATTCAAATACATTAGGCAGATATCAATGAATACAAATGTATAGATATTATTTGCTTAAAGATACATTTATTTAATTATACATATACATTTTTTTAACTACAAAGGTTAAGTAGCTATATGTTTCTGTTAAATGAAATGAATGAATGTAAATGCATCTACCCAATTCTGCCACAGCTGCAGCACAGGCTGATAAAGTGAACTTTGAAACTCGGGGCCACCGCGAATTCTCTTGAAGATGAGACATTACAAGTGTCTTCTGACTTCCAAATGAAAAAATATATAATATATATTCATGAAATTAACTATGTCCCAAAGGAACCACGAGCCTGGAGAGCATGCTCAAGTGTTGACACAGCTCAAGACAGGACTACGACCTTTAATAAGAGGCGAACCCGTTTCTTTTTAAGCCAAGCCGGTTGGACGGTGTAGTTACCGACCCCCTTACGTAATTACGTACAACGTTATAAACTACAAAAGAACAGTCGGGCACAGAAAACCACAATTCCCACACTACCCCACACAAAACTGGCACCATCAGTCATAAGTCGAGTTTCTTGCGTAAGGACGGCCCGTCATTTTTGTACGCATGCGCCTTTCAGCAGATTGTAGCGCACACTATCTGTCTGTCTGTCTGTCAGTTTATAGGATTTTTTTTGTTATCGAAAACAGAAAGAAAATTAAGTATGCCTAAATTTTATTTTCTCATTTATAAATTATCAGTAATCATAGATATATGAGCAGTACTAAACAAATACAAAGTATTGCTTTATACTGCCATCTGGTGTTTAGTAGATGATATTCAATACAATGTTCAAAAACTGTCTGTCTGTCTGTCTGTCTGTCTGTCTGTCTGTCTGTCTATCTGTCTATCTGTCTATCTATCTGTCTGTCTATCTATTTTGTTGTGTATTATCGAATATAGAAAATCATGTAAGCTTTTCATTCTTGCTACAAATTATCAACCTGATATAAATTGCTATATACTGCCATCTTGTGTTCAGTAGATGAAATATCACATCCTGTACAAAGTGCAATAATACACAATGTTGTAAAATGGGCTTAAGTACTCGTCGTTGTTAATTATTATGACGTCAAAACAATAATTACTGTAAATAATGTAGTTATAATTCAATTCAATTCACCTTTATTTGTATAGCACTTTACAATGTAGTTTGTGTCAGCAGCTTCACATAAATGGTCACAGTAAATTGGAACAGAGTAGTTCAGTTTTTAGTGTTTAGTTTAGTTTAGATCAGTTCTAAACTGTATTAAAATATAAACAGTATTAAAATTTACAAAGGTTCATTAAAATAGCTATTTAAAGGGATAGTTCACTACAAAATGAACATTTCTTACACACCCTCAAGTGCCTTTAAGAGTTTCTTTCTTCTTCTGAACACAAAAGAAGATATTTTAAAAAGAACTGCAAACTGTATTTACTTCCATAGCATGGAAATCAAATACTACTGAAGTCGGTTACAGGTTTCCAACATTTTCAAAACATCTTTTGTTTTTAAAGGAATTTTTTTTAACTATTCCTTTAACCCTTTAACTGCCCCACCAAGAAAAAAAATTGAATTGCATTTTTTACATCTTAATGTCGCTTTAGTTAACACATCCAATGCATTACAGTTTTTCTCAGTCGTTTTGGTCCATTTTTCAGATCAGAATTGAAATTCTCAGATCATTGTGTCACTTTTGCATATCAGAAAAGCAGTTTCTCATTTCTTTGAACAAGTTGCAAATGCTTGCGTATACATCCTTGCAAATGATTATGTGCAATTGTCTGCTCTTACATTATTAATTCATGTTGATCAAAATGGATTATTTTGGTCTGTTGAATAGTTTCACCGCCACAATATTTAATCCTTTGTTCAAGGTATAAGTCTTCACATGCAAAATGGCTGAAAAAGTTGAAAAAATTATTTTATTATTGTTCACATTTCTACTTTTTTTTGTGCTATGCAGTGCAGTCTTTTTCTATCTGTATCAAAATGACATAATCTGTCAACTAATTTCAGTACAACGAGCAAAAATAAATAGAGAAAGAAAAATTTGTCATAGTTTACATCAGAACATCCCTCCAAAGTATACTGTTATATTGATAACATGACAAAGTAATTTGACTTGTTTGTCTTATCCATAGACAATGACACAAGTGTCATTCTGACAGCACTGACACAGAAATGCAGTTTTGAGAGTTGAACTAAGGGTTTTGAGCTAGAGACTGGCTTTTGCAGGTAATGGTGATTTGCTTTTTCTATGTGTTGTTTTGTGAAATGCACTTACTGTTTTGCCATTCTGATCTGAAAAATGTACCAAAGAGACTGAGAGAAAAAAACATAATTTAAAAAATATCAGCCTCTACCAAATTGCAGATATGTCGATTTATGGTAAAAGTACTGGAATTATTACATATACTATGAAAAATCTGAAAATATGAAGTGAAAGACCAATTTATTAAAACAAATATTCAAAATCAAACATTTTTAAATACTAAATCATCTTTAGGGCGAGGCAGTGGCGCAGTAGGTAGTGCTGTCGCCTCACAGCAAGAAGGTTGCTGGGTCGCTGGATCGAGCCCCGGCTCAGTTGGCGTTTCTGTGTGGAGTTTGCATGTTCTCGCTGCATTCGCGTGGGTTTTCTCCGGGTGCAATGGTTTCCCCCACAGTCCAAAGACATGCGGAAAAGGTGAATTGGGTAGGCTAAATTGTCCGTAGTGTATGAGTGTGTGTGTGAATGGGTGTGTGGATGTTTCCCAGAGATGGGTTGCAGCTGGAAGGGCATCCGCTGCGTAAAAAAAACTTGCTGGATAAGTTGGCGGTTCATTCCGCTGTGATGACCCCGGATTAATAAAGGGACTAAGCTGACAAGAAAATGACTGAATGAATGAATAAATCAATCATCTTTATTTTTTGAAGTATGCCACAAAATATTTCAGATTCTTGTTTAACATATATATTTTTTCTTTTTTACAATAAAACCAAAATCAAGTGTAGTAGAGCAACAGGATTATGTTTGATTGATTTTTTTTGTTAACCAACAATGCTGTGTGTGTAAACCATTATTTAAAACAGACAAAATATGGTCAACAATCTGGTAGAGCAGGCAGTTATTTTTTTAATTTTTTTATTGTGCATTAATAATCAACAAATACAGCAAAACAGGGAACAAACAAAAAATCCAAAGATAATTGAAATTCAAATAAATAAATAAACGCAAAACAAAACAGAACAAAAACAAATGGAAGACATTCACAAGACACCAAAAACAGATTCATAATAGCTTACAAGAGCTTTTACATTTTTTACAGCTTTGAGAGACTTCATTTACTGAGTAAATTCGTTGATAAAAAAAAATTATATAAAGGAAATTTTGAAAGTCTAAATTTGTGGATTTACCATCTAAAATAATTAAATTAACAAAATTGTTAATGTTTTAATCACCATTTTCAAAATAACAAACCATTTATTTTGCATTCTATGTTACCAACATATTATTTTAGTAGAATACCCAGAAAAACAAAATAATTCCAAAATGATTGCACACTCTGACAAACAACAAATAAGTGACATAAGAAATCCTCACTGTTTTCACAAAATGAACATTGTTTCTCAATATCTGAAAATTTGGAAAGTGGTAGAGCAGGCAGTTAAAGGCATAAACCACGCCAGTCTCTTATTATACTGTATATATCAAACATTACGTCCGGAAGCTCTTATACACACTGTACAGCTTATTTTATGCCATCCAAGAGGCGTTAATTAACGGGCAGCGCCTTTCCAAATTTATTTCAAAAATTCACTGTAGGTTAACAAATTACATTGCAACTAGGTTAACCTATAACAGAGAGGTTGAATGTGACGTCACACTCACCAAGCCATCTAAGGTAGTGCTTTTTCATTTCAATCAGCCTATAGTCTGCAGAGCGGCGGCACAAAACCACCACTGAGGTAAGTAGGTTGAACATAAAACTCCTTTGAAATGGTTTTTGTTATTAATCAAATATGTATGCGAATACATGTTTTCTCGTTGGAGTTATGAATTAATAATACGGAATATATATTCAAGCTCTGGTGCTTGTGAATGCCTCCAACCAAAAGTATTTGCTATTTCATTTATTCGCGTGTATTTCATGGAAATGATTGTATCTGTTGACTGAGTTTAAACTATGTGTGATTTCTGGTTAAGTTCGATACAATGTTTATCGTATTTCTTCCACTTTCAGTGTCAAGATTCGCACTTCCGCATTGCTTTGATCAAATGATAATCCTCGTGCTCTGTGATACCCGTGACGGCGTTTATTTTTTTACGTCTCGTTATGTTTTTATCTCTCGGTTTGGTGTTAAAAAAGGGAGACCACGCGTATTATTTTTTATATCAAAATTCGAAATAAGTAATAGTAGTCTTTGAATGGTCAGCATCTGCAATAAGCCGGTAGGGTGCGGCGTTGCTATTCCCAACGCGTCCAGAGAGGGCGCTCTGCGTAAAGCTTGAACAGAACGTGCTTGTCTAAATCACTTTAGCAGTTTATTCAGCACGTGCATTGTTTATTGTAATCAAAGACTGATTATGACTCTATTAAAGAACTATTGTTTATTATTCCAGTGTTTTGTTTTTGACTATAACGTCTACATATGCAAACTTGCATCAAGCTTACTCATTTACATTTTTAAGTCTATTTTGTAAGTCAGCATCAAATAAAATGTCAAAAAGGAGATTTTATATATACAGAAAGTATGTTAAATGCAAATAACATGTCTCTTTCAGGGTTTTATAAACTTTGAGAAATCCCACTTTTAGAGATGAGAACTTTAATCAACATTTCCATTTTAAATAAGTGGCAAGAGGAGCGGGATGCATTGGAAATAATAAATTGTATGAAATGTGACCTGAAATCTCATTGTTAAGACCTTTTTAAGACTAGATTTGATCAGGTGATTTTTTTACCAGATGTTGTATTGGACATACAAGATTAACTTATGCCTTTTTGCTTAAAGATGAAGACTCTACTTAATATTTGTAATGCACAACTCCCATTACTGTTAAACACATTTTACTGGTCTGTCATGATTTTAATGATTCCACAAGGCTTTTTTTTAACGAAATGAACTATTTTAAGGACATTTTAAACAAAGTGATACCAGGATTTTTTTTTTTTTAGAATTTTTATCATGCATAACACTAAAAATCTCATTAAATTTATGTATTCATTTGTTTGTTGTTTTCAATTGTATATTTATTATTAAAATGTTCTTACCATAAAAATAGCCTTGGTTGTTGACCTCATTAAATTAAAAAAATACATTACATTATACTTTGTGAGAAAATGTCAAAATAAGAGTGTAATAATATTTTTGTATTTTTATATAAAATAATTAATAAAGTACTATTTTTATGTGCTTATAAATTTTCATGAAAGATAAGGTAAGGGTACTTAAAAAAAGCATTATGTTGCTGACAAATGAATAAAAACATTTATTTAAACAATAGTGGCGATGTGTATAGATTTAATAACTATACATTCATTTATTTTTGTTTATTTATTTGGAGAGGCTGCATTATGATTTTAAATTGTTTTTGAAAATAGTCATTTTTTAAGTCATCAAATAAATATGTCAAAGTATAAAAAATTTCCTGACAAAAGTTTTGATATGCATCAACAAATGTTAAACTCGGTGTAATTTTGTTGAGCATCTTGTGCAAATCAGGGTAAACATTTATTTTCTTTCTTTATGTTTTTATCTTTTTTTAACTGTAAATTAAAACTTTATATTTCAATTTCACATTTATATTCCATAATTTCTTTTGTTCGATGATATTTCCATTTAAGGATCGACACGTCTGTAGTTAGGTCCATAGCCGATATGGCAACAGTGCTCTAATTCTGGCATAATAATCAAGTAACCTTGCTGCCTTTTCAATAATACTACGCCAGACTCTGAGATAAAAATGGGGAAAAAACTATTCTAGAATTGTAGGTGCACGAATGTCAGTTGTCAGTCGACACACAAGTGCATTGTGGTTTTTGGCTCGCATATTCACTCAGATTGGTGCTGCTCACTTTGGAGATTAGCAGCTGGCTTAATAGTGTGCTTTTAAAAGTACATTAAAAAGTGCATTATATTCCAATTTCACAGTAGAAATTGTACACTTGTGTGCTACTTTTAGCATTTTAATGCCTGAAAACAAGTTTTCATTTGACTAATGAACCAATAATAAACTATCCTAAAGTTTTTCATTTACCAGTTTGTGAGTCAATCAGTATAGACTTCAGTCAGTATAGACTGATTGAAAAATAAGACATTTACAGTAATAATATGAATGTATACTTCCAGAGACCAACATGAATGTGGAACATGAAGTCAGTCTGCTCATTGATGAAATCCGCCGACTGGGCAGTAAAAGTAAGTCTTGTACTTTTTGTGAACAACATCATTGTTAGGAATGAAATACTTTTATTTGTCTTTTTTTCTAGTATAAATTATATTAATTAACAGTTTAAGTAAAACATTCACTTGAAAATCTTGATGAATTTTAAAATTACCTAGTATGTATGTCTTGTAGTACCAATTGACTAAATATTTGATTGGAATGTGCCAAACCATTGCTTAACCACATGCTTAATGTCACCAAATTGCCAATGAGAAAATTAAGATTATGGAAGTAAAATTATTATTTATTTTCTTCATAGAATTTTCTTTTCACAAACTTTATTTGGGAAAAAATCTGAAAAAGGTGACGCACTCTAAGCACCTTGTTGGTTTGGTGGCGCAGATATAATTCTTTCATTCATTTTTCTTCGGCTTAGTCTCTTGAATGAACCACTAACTTATCCAGCATATGTTTTACACAGCCAACGCCCTTCCAGCTGCAACCCAAAACTGGGAAACACCCATACACTCTTGCATTCACACACATACACTACGGCTAATTTAGTTTATCAATTGAACTATAGCGCATATCTTTGGACTGTGGGGGAACGGGAGCACCTGGAGGAAACCCACACCAACAGGGGGGGAATGCAAACTCCACACAGAAATGCCAACTGACTCGAAACAGCGACCTTCTTGCTGTGAGGCGACAGTGCTAGCCATTGTGTCGCCTTTGTTTCAGAATCACTATTCTGAAAATAAAGTGTAAAACATATGCTGGATAAGTTGGTGGTTCATCAGGGGTTGCCACAGCAGAATGAATAAAGGGACTAAGCCAAAAAAGAATGAATGAATAAATGATTCTGAAACACTGAGATGTAAATTAGACTTTCAAAATATATCTTGTTGAAACTGTGATTGAGTAACAGGTCTGTCATAAGAGCTTTTATGTAAGTCTTTACATGTCAGACTCAATAATGCAGGACAGGTCTTAACCTGATGAGGAATTCAAAAGGAAATGGCAGCACAGTTTAAACTGAAATTTCTGGTACAATTATGACCACAATTCTGAAAGGAATCTTTCCTTTTTTTAATCCATTCAACCTCTGGGTACAAGCACTACTAGCTTAGCTTAGCATACATCATTGAATCAGATTAGACCATTAGCATCTCAGTCAAAAATGACCGGAGAGGTTCGATAATCTTCCTATTTAAAGCTTGACACGTCTGTAGATACATCTTAAGACCGACAGAAAATGAAAAGTTGATATTTTCTTGGCCAATAAGACAAATATGCTCTTATTCTGGCATAATAATCAAATAACCTTGCTGCCATATCAATAATACTACACCAGAGATAATAATGGTGAAAAAAACATTAGGTGCACATATGTCAGTCGATACACAAGTGCATTGTGGTTTTTGGCTCGCATATTCACTCAGATTCATCCTGCTCATTTTTGAGAGTAGCAACTGCCTCAACAGTGTGCTTAAAAAGTGCTTGAATGTTAATAGGAGACATTCAGGGTTGTTAATAAATGATTTACAGTGATCCCTGACCCATTCTCTCTATCTTGCAGATGCAGACGGGAAGACCAGCGTCAAATTCGGAGTCTTGTTTAACGATGACCAGTGCGCCAATCTCTTTGAAGCTCTTGTCGGAACACTGAAAGCGGCCAAGCGGAAGAAGGTGATCACTTTCGATGGCGAGCTGCTACTGCAAGGAGTTCACGACAACGTTGATGTCGTATTACTGCAGGACTGAATGTGACCGTGTCTTTTCTAAAGCCAAGCCGAAAAAAGTACAAATGCATTTTTTTTACATGCCATTGCTACATTTTGATACATCTAAGAATGTAACAAGTTTGTGTAATGCATTGGAGTATTTTTATACAACCATTTCTTCCTTTCTCAGGGGAGTGATTCGCACAACAGTTTTTTGTAAAGTAGCAATCTTCCCTTTTCAAACACCTCAGTGGTTATATCATTAATATAAAACATAAAAATATACTATTAAAATGTGCATGAGCATGTCGCAGGCTTTCTGGGACACACTGTTTTCAACTTTAAAATGAATATCCATCAGAATATACCTCTGACGTCCAGTTGTGATTAAATTGATAATGCACTGGACGGTCAAAAGAGTAATCATGAGGTCGTTTGCAGTACTGTACTGTGAAATGTTTATAATTGTCATGTCGTTCATATTATATGAGCCATAACATCTTTATTTGTTGATAGACATGACAAGTATGTTTTGTTAGATTTAAATATTACAAAAAAGAATCATGTTTGACCAATTAAGATAATTGTTTTAGTGTGATATTGTTTTATAAAGCTCTTGCGCAAACACCTTCGTATTGTACTCGTGCTATTCTTCTCTGTGCAAATGTTACATACTGTTGGACTCCCAGTGGTGCAGTTGGTGCCATTTCAAGCTCAGGAAGACCTTAACATGAGCAGCAATAGGAAGTAAAACTTCATCAATTATTAAATAACGGGGAGTTTTGCACTGGATTATGACAGTGGGGGATTTTCATTTGTCTTTCTCATTTCTCATTCTCAACGTTTTGAACCTGGCTTTAGACTTCTAATTTGTCACGTTTTTTGCTTTCTGACCATGTCGTTGCTGTGTTTTCTGTCTTGTGATGGTTCATCTGCTTTCGAATGGCTGGAGACGCTTTGTTTAAAGTGCAATAAAGTCATATTAATACATTTGACTTGATTTAGGACACTTAATACATTAGGTTTATGACTAGTACTGAATGGGGTATATGCACACGGACTTAATTTCAATAAGCCAGCCCCAGGGCCTCTGGTTAATTGTCATCCCATGAAAGAATGCAGCATTTAAGATCTGATTACTTTAAAAGAAAGTATGAGATACGATATAAAGTGCAAGAACAAGAAGCACTGCATTAAATTCTATTTTTACATGCCTTGTATGTGGAATATGGAAATTAATTTTACTCCAGTATTTTCAGTCGAATTTCTGGTTAGCCGGCTGCTAATAATGGCGTCTGTGTTTAAAAGGTCTGTGGTCTCTTTTTACGCTTTAACTAATAAATCGATGCTTTAGTCTGTTTAACTAAATATATTTGGATGACATTACAACATCGATGCTGTAAAAGGAACCTCATGAAATTGAAAATAGTCACATTAAGCTTTCACTGGAAGTTCATCATTGGCTGAAAAACATTAGCTCTGCATATAATCCATTGCACACTTGATGGTGCAAGTATGTGATGTTATCTAAAATGAATGAGCCTGGCTGCAATGGACTTTTGGAGATATGATTTTGTATTTTTAAAATACATCTGAGCCTTGACACTGGTAAAATCTATCTTTGTAAGAAAATTTCTTCTGTTTTTAATCTTTTAGATGCCATCCCCAAATATAACCTTTGTTGTGTATGAAGGATTTAATTTTAATATCTAAATATAATCAAGTTTATTTGAACATTTATAGCCCAATAATTATATAACATTAGCTGTATTTTTGTTTTTAGTATATTCTTAATGTTTCCTGGATTTAAGTTTTTAAGGTATATTAATTAATTTTCCTTTGGCTTAGATCTTTTATTCATCAGAGATTGTCACAGTGGAATGAACCGCCAACTTATCCAGCATATATTATACAGAGCGGATGTCCTTCCAACTGCAACCCAGTACTGGGAAGTATCCATACACACTCATTCACACACACACTACGGCCTATTTATTTATTCAATTCACCTCTACTGCATGCCTTTGGACTGTGGGGGAAACCCACGGCAACACAGGGAGAACATGCAAACTCCACACAGAAATGCCAACTGACCTAGCCGGGGCTCGAACCAGCGACCTTTTTGCTGTGAGGTGACAGTGATAACCACTGAGTCACCGTGTTGCACTTTGAGAGATTTGATTTTGTGTTTTTAAAATACTGAGCCTTGAGACTGGTAAAATCTTTGTAGTAGGAAAATTTCTTCTGTTTTTAATCTTTAGATGCCATCCCCAAATAGAACCTTTGGGAAGGATTTAATATTAATATCTAAATAGTTTCTAGTAAAAAAAAATGAACATTTATAGTTGACTCAAACTTCCAAAAATAATATAACATTAGCTGTATTTTTGTTATTGGTCCATTCAGAATGTTGCCTGGATTTAAGATTTTAAAGAATATTATGGAAACTTCATGTTTTAACTAGTCGAAGCAAGAATATTAGTTCCACTTAAGATATTTTTGCTCTTTCAGTGCTTTTTCTGTTTTTACATTGTGTGAAATAATCATTTAAGAAATGTTTCTATTCAGTTTCATTATTTTATCTATTTATTGGTAATTGTTTATTTTATCTACTTATTATTAAAACAGAAAACCCCACAAGGTTTTAAAAAAAGTAATGGAAATTACATTTACATTTAGTCATCTAGCAGACATTTTTGTCCAAAGCGACTTAAGCTGCAGTCATGCTAGAGCTTGTGCTTGCAAAATTCTGTTGTACGGTACTGGGAAAAAGGGGCGGGGTTAAACAATATGATTAGACATTAATAACAGTGAGCGATTGCTCCATATTTGAAATTTCTTATTTTAAATTATCTTCTATTGGTCTCACGCAGGGTGACGCGGTGGCATAGTAGGTAGTGACGTCACCTCACAGCAAGAAGGTTGCTGGTTCGAGCCTATGCTGGGTCAGTTGTCATTTCTTTGTAAAGTTTGCATGTTCTCCTCCCATTTGCGTGGGTTTCCTCCGGGTGCTCCGGCTTCCCCTACAGTCAAAAGACATGCGGTACAGGTGAATTGGGTAGGCTAAATTGTCCGTAGTGTATGAGTGTGAATGAGTGTGTATGGATGTTTTCCAGAAATGGGTTGCAGCTGGAAGGGCATTCGCTGCATAAAACATATACTGGATAAGTTGGCGGTTCATTCTGCTGTGGCAACCTCAGACTAATAACGGGACTAAGCCGAAAAGAAAATTAATGAATGTTCTCACGCAATCACCTAATGTGATTTCGTAGGTAAGAATACACCAAGCCTGAACTTTCGAATGCAGTCAAATGCGAAGCACATGCTTGCGTTTTTGGTCTGTTGCATTCGCATGCATGAATAGAAGTCTATGGAGCAAAAAGTGCAGTGTGATCGCGACTTTACAACAGAACTACTTTTATCTACGATTACTAGTTTAACAAACTATTAAGATTATCTAAAAGTAGTTTGACAAATATCTGTATATTGGAATTGAGGTTAGTTGTTTTTACTTTTCTTTTCTTGGTCAAAAACATGATCTCACAAGATTAGTGCTGTGTAAGCATCAACTATTTTACATAGATATAAAAAAATAAATTGAAACTATTGTGTGCTTTATGATATGCTGCAATAAATTTAAACGTTTCATATGATTTACCATGTATATGTAGACATTACATGAATGATTAGGTCATGAAAATTGACTTGAAAGTCCAGGAAAAGTCGTTGAACTTTTGTTGTAAAACCCTGTGTTAAATTTCATTTTATCTACTTATTGTAATGTATTTATTTATTTGAAACATTTTTTTTCTATTTTAACCTATTTGGTATTTATTTCTTATAACGGGTATTACATTTTGGATGATTTGCTAGCTTATATTTATTTTAAATGTAATAATTGAGTTTTTATTTCCTATTTGTTTGTTTTATGTACTGATTTTTTAGCATTATGTTTCATTGTTTATTTGAGTATTTATTTATATCTAGTCCCTTGTAGTCCTCTGGGGGTCCCAGAACCCCAGTATAAAAAGATGTAAAGATTTAAGTTACAGAACTTAAAGTGGTTCACTATATCACCTATTTAAAAACTTCAAATTAAAACCTTGAATCACCTCTAACAGCACGTCCATCATCACTCACGAATCCATATGCGGTGGCCGAGCATTTATAACTTCTAATAAATTTAGCAGCGTGTCGATGATTATCTACTCGGGACTCCCTCTTAGTCTGTGCTATTAATAACTCTGAGCTGTGGGTCTGGATCAGAGATGGAGGCGGAGCCAGAGGAACATTCTCTCTTCAGAGCAGGAATCAAAACAAGAGAGGGACACGCCTTCTTCATGGTGTACCTCTGCTGTCAAGACTGCCTGCACAAATCTGGAGGATGATGATGAAGAAGATGATGATGATGATGGTGATCCAGCTCTAACATCTGCATCTTACGCGCGTTAACATCCTTCAATCCGTCCTCGACATGATATCCGCAGAAATGCTCGGTCGCGGTCGCTGACAGGCTGCATTCATACTGAGCGCTCCATTATGCCCAACCAAAAAAGCAACAAGGGGAAGAGAAATAAACGCACGAATAGTAGCGGGGACGAGCAAGAAAATGGAGCCTCTGCGTCTGGGGTTACGGGAGGAACTGCCTCGACGTTGACCGGAGCCACGGCGGGTCCGCCGAGCGACAACAGAAGCGGTAAGAACCGACCGTCACTTCACTTCAGTCAGGGTTCGAGCAATAGGTGCGTTTCCCTAAACGTGCACGCGCGCCTTCCCTTCCTCAAATGTTTTCTCACTTGCTGCAACTTGTTTCGCGCGCGTGTCATCACCACCATCACTGTTGTTACGACATTAGCCCGGAGATTTCCGCGCTTTCACTTGTCGTCCTGCAACTGTAAGGTGGTTGTGTTTAGGCCTTGCTCAAGGGTACATGCACTTGACATGGAGCTACATGTGATCTGGGCATTGAATGTTGTGTAATGGCAGGTCATGTCAATATAGTGACGCACTGTTTGGGTGTTTAATTATGCATAGAATGGCACGGGCTCTTGAGGTGGAGGAAATGCTTGCTTGTATTTTGAGTGGGTGATGTTGTGAGATGGAATAGCAGACTGCCAGGTAATCCTTATTTATTTCTAAATAAAAGTATTCATTCATGTTTATTCGTTTAAAACAACTGAAATTGCTGTCTGGCAGATTGTTCAGGTTGTGTGTTTTTACCTTGAGGAAAAATACAAAAATCTTTTGCTGAAGTGTAGACTGAAGCTTGCATTTATGAGTGAAGCAGAGCAACAGAGCCTTTCCTTCTGCGCTCAAAGCATTCTTTAAAGGCATAGTCCTCTCAAAAAATGAAAATTTACTGCTATTTTACTCACCCTGCAAGTTTTTGCTGACTTGTTGTTGTTCTGTAGAACATTTAAAGTTTTAAGTTGAATCCATCATGAAATGTATGAAAAGTCATCAGCTACCAGGGATGGACCACCATAATTTTCTGACGGTATGATAACCTTGGATAAAAATACCACAGTATGTCTGTATTGTGATTACTGCTCTAAAATAAATACATTTTTAATGTCTGAGTAAAAAACAACAACTTTCCCCCCATTGAACACAATTTATTTGATTTTTGGAAACATATTATAATATTTTGGAGCAGTAAACATGTCAGGCTAAATAATTCAAATAAATCATTGACTTCTCTATCCTCATTAGTTTCAATGACACAGATATATTTACAACACATAAACACCCATACACATACCATAGGAATGGTATTACTGATTTTTTTTTTTTTTTTTTGCAGATTTAAAACCTTGACTTTTCCAAACCACGGTAAACCTTGAAACAGGTTACCATACACTGCCTAACCAGTTCAGCACTTTGAGTTAAAAAAAACTCCAGCCAAAATAGAATAGAATGAATACTGTTTCTTGCACTGACTGATTGCTTCACTTCATAAGAAATCTGTGTAATTTTGCTTTACCTGTATTTTTGTTTACATTTTTTTGGACCATTAGAGTCCCAATCTCTATTGACATGCATTTTAGGAATCCCTGAATATTCAGCTCAAAATTAGCATCACAGTTTATTTTGGCGGTCCGTTTGTTGATTTTAAGTTACATTGCATCTACATGCCAACTAATTCTCATTAGATTATAAGTAGACTGTTAGGTTGACATGTACTTGCAAAGTTTCTTATAGTCAGTTAAATGTCTGTTGAATGAGCATATCAACAGATATTAAGCAGACAGTCTACTATTACTCAAATGCAATGGTTCTCAAAGTGGGGGTCGGGGGACACTGAAGGGGGGTCGCCTGGTGATTTCCAAAAATCTATAAATTTTTATTAATCTATAAGAATGACCATATTTTATCCATAACCTACTGAAGAGAAAAAATAGTTGTTTATAGTTACTAGTTCTGTTGGATTGCAACCCCTGGGGTAATTGCATTATATTAAAGACACAGCAGTAGCGTCAGATGCAGCTGATTGATTTCATAACACCAGGTTAAACTTTCTGGCCCATTTATAGCACTGGCATGCATTAAAAAATAAACAATGAATAGACTTGGGTCCATTGGTGTGTGTGCCCCATTGTATGCAAGGTTTCTGTATTTATAACCACTTCAGAGGATATTAGTGGTGAGTCACTGGCATTGTCATTTTGGGGGTTGCGGGCTGAAAAGTTTCGGAACCACTGCTCAAACGGACCATCAAAATAAAGTGTTACCAAAATTAGATATATGTCTATATTTAATTATTAAATATATTGTGATAATGAATATTTGCAATATTGATATCATAGACACTTCAAAATACAGCTTAATCTGGCCTACTAAACGCTGAAATATCATTCTGTGACTGTTTATAGGGCTATTGTATGGTGACCCTGTGCAATAAGCCTTCAATAATTAATAGTTAAGGGTATGTTAATGCCTAATAACATGTTAAAATCACAGTCTTAATCTGATTGCTACAAGTCAAAATAGTTTTGATATTTTTAAATAATTCATATATTTTTTTACCTTTTTATAATTTTTTTTCTTGCCGTCTATTTTAATCCATTAATTATTATTTACTAATGAAACTATAAAAAGTTACCTGTTTTACTTTATAATACCTTTGCAATTTAATTAGTTAACATTTGTTTCCTCTGAACATGTACAGTAAAGTAATATACAAAGTTTTGTTTGTTATATTACCTATTAAAATAGCCTTGATACTGTATATCGTGAGAAAACTTCAGCAATTAGTTGGCACAAAAACATTTAAAATCATCACAAGCCTACTTAAAATTTTCTTAAATGTTTTGCTAATAAAAGTCACCTCTTAATTGTCTCAAAGGTGAGCAAATTCCACCTATTCCTACCCACTCCACCTATAGCTAGTGTGGTGTGAGCTCTGGCGCAGTTGTTCTGTTGCTGCCGTCGCATCATCCAAGTGGATGCTGCACACTGGTTGTGGAGTGGAGAGACCCCCGCTCATGATTGTAAAGCGCTTTGGGTGTATACACAATAAATGCGCTAAACAAACAAAAAAAAACATTCATTTTTAAGTAAACAATCCCCTTGATCATCCAGCCCCACTCCATGTTGTCATTTTAACCAGACACAAACATTAGTGAGAAAAACCCACTCAGAGCTGCCATTGCGTTAAACAAATTAACCTGCTCCTCACTACAGTCGACTTCACACAAGTTTATGAGAGATGCAGTTCTTTCACTTTATGCTGACACAGTCTGAGTAATGTGCTTGAAAGGTAAAGCGAACACGTTAACTGTAGTCATTCAAACATGAAAACAGTACTTTTGAAGGCGGCTGTCAGTCAAATTTGAGGAGCAACATTCTCTGTTGTGTAATTGTCTTTCTCTGTCTCTCATGACACATGCACCCTTCATTCACGAAAGTTACATAATATTTTTTTTTCTGTTGGAGTGGGATTCGCACCCACAGAGTTATCATAAATAGAATTGATGGATTCGGTGTACTGACATTGAAAATTCTGCCAGAGAAGCTGCTTGAATCACACTGCCTATAAATAGATGTCCCTCAATGAATTGATAGAAGGTTACATTTATTCACATTTGTATTCATTCACCCAGTCATTCATTTGTTCATTAGCATAGAAAACATTTAACCACGTAAAACAAACATTTAGTTATTTCTTTATTTGTATATCATGAGTAACACTAAATGTAAACACTGTAGTCTGCATTAGGGCAGGGCATAGATATGACAAAGATCTCATATCATGACATAAGTCATTTCTGAAAATTCAATCAATTAATAGATTACGTATATTAACACATTTTTTATAGTATATACAGTACTTGAAAATGTACTAGTTCATATGTGATTATATTTCTCACTTTGTTTAGAACAAATGTGTGATTAAAAAAATCATAATAAAAATAAACGTTAATAATTACACCCCATTCACACGGGGCGTCAGCGTCAACGCTTCTTATTCACTTAGAATGTGTGACGTCAGGCGTTGCCGAACTGCATTGTGGATCCGTCGGCACTGTTCAGAGACGTTGCTCGCTACAGAAGTTGGGACTAGCTCATTTTTTCAAGTGCCGACGGAAGCGTCAGCCAATCAGATCGCTGTATGCAAATACACCAGCTAGACTGTGGCCTATTGCTATTGGCTGACGATTCTATGACGATTGTTTCAGCCCCAACTTCAGGCACGCCTTCAGTCAAGCGTTGACGCTGAAGCCCCGTGTGAATGGGGCGTTCGGGCTGTGCGATTTGGGGAAAATATCTAATTGCGATGTTTTTTGACAGATATTGTGATTTGATTTACGCTTTAATTCTGTAGTCAAGCTTCAGCTCAATAATCTGTAAGCCGTGGCAACAATTCTGCGACAGCTCTTAAAAATGACCTGTTTTTGTTTGGTGTCTGTGACTTGAAACCAAAATATTTCCATATTACAAATGCTGTTTTACTTTGATACTAATTCGACTATTAATGTTTCTGAAGCAGCAGACGCCGTATTCCCACTTGTCAGGGCTTTCTTTTTTTTTTTTTCTTCTTTCTTTTTTTTTGAGTAGTTCAGTTGCGCAATTCTGATTGGGCAGAATGAAAGTGCGCTCGCTCAATTGGCTAGTAAGGCTGTCACACACAGCCGGTGTTCTGTTGATTTGTCCTACGTTTGTCAGATTGTTCACCTTCCATTCAAAAAGTTGGCAGTATATTTTGATGACGCAATATGCTGCCCATCAGATTTTGCTACCAGTGTAAATTTGAATGTGGAGTAGTGTGATATGAAGCTGTAATATTGTCCTTACCTACCTAAGATCTAACCCCAACCTCAAAACCATTCAAATACTGTGTTGGTAGCATAATCCGATGGGCAGGATAAAATGTCAGGACACATGTTGTCACGCATTTGCTCCGGGCAGAGGAAATGAAATAATACACATACTGTATATTTCATATGGCAACCTCTTGTGATTAACTAATCGCAACTTTTCAAATTGCTGTTGCGATTTGATTTCGATTAATCACACAGCCCTATTAATAATAAATAAACTCTTTCAAAAGCTAATGATTTATAGGCCCAACATAAAAAATAGTATATCGCAAAATATAAACATTATACTTTCAAGATTGTAACTTTCTTACCATGCTATTGTTCATGTGTCTTTCTGCATCCCCATAATGGCATGTAATATTGCGCTAATATAAATTATGAAAAAATATCACCATAAATAGTGTAAATAATGTGAAACAAACATAAAATGAAACGAGTAGACAGACATTTTATTTTGTCAATACAATATACACTCTCAGAAAACATGGCACAATGTTGTTAGAAGGTACAAACCCTTGTCACGGGGGCAGCACCATTTTATGGAAAAGAATTGTACCTTAAGACAAAGAAACAGATTTGTACCATTGCAGTTTGTACCTTTTAAAGACATGATTTGTACCATGGGAAACCAAAATGCACTTTTGGTTTTTTAAACCAGCAAATACAATATTGTATCTTCATCAAATACAAATCTGATCCATAAAGGTTTTACTACAGTAACAAGACACTTTGTACCTTAACAGTGTCAAATGTGTTGCTTCAACAACTATTTAAAGGCATTTTGCTTTATCCAAAATGTGTCCATTTTTTCAGTAAATATAAAACATCAAATACAGTTTTAAACAATGTTTTTTTTATGTTTCTTTTTGTGTAAATGCACCTTTTCCAATTACTATTAAGAATAAAAAATACTTTAACATGAATCAAAAGATCTATTTTTGCTAAACATTTCACAACACTTTTCAGAAAAGTGTTACAGAAACACATTCTCCTATCTACAATATAAAAATGTTTTTTAATACCTTTTTAATCATTTCAAATTTTATTTAACTTACTTAATTTTAAAATAGAAATAGAATTATGCAAATGTATTGTAACGAGATATGCACAATGTTTGATTAGTTTTACAATAGCAAAATGTCTGCATGAACACTCTCCATATGCAGGAGTTTTGCCAGCTCACTTGTGTAGTGGAAAGCAAACGCCAAAAGGTGCGGATATCAATAATGAAACTGTATTTATCAGAAAATGCTCACCAAATGTTTATTAAAAATGCCTTAAATGTTTAGTTTGCAAAAAAGTTTTGTTTCACCAGTTGTTTTGTATTATAGAATTTAATAATTAATGTTTATGAGTTTCTTTAAACATGCTTATCCCTTCAGTCATTTGATGCTTTCATCCAAAGCTACTTTCAAATGGGAAATTTGACTTTGAAATTGAATTTGAAATCACCTCAATATCACTGTCTAAACATTTCTCAATATTAAGTACAAGGTAAACACTGGTATTTGTCGAGATTGCTGGATTATTTGCTATTTTGGATTTCATGCACATTTCTGCAATTTTAAAGCTTATATTACCTGCGCTACGTTTGCTACATTGTGACATTGATTGCTAATAAGGCTGAATGGTAAATGTAATCTTTAGCAAATCTCATATGCATTATCATAACACTGATAACATTAAAAGGGATAGTTCACCCAAAAAAGTTTTTTTAATACCTTTTTAATCATTTCAAATTTTATTTACCTTACTTAATTTTAAAATAGAAATAGAATTATGCAAATGTATTGTAACAAGATATGCACAATGTTTGATTAGTTTTACAATAGCAATATGTCTGCATGAACACTCTCCATATGCAGGAGTTTTGCCAGCTCACTTGTGTAGTGGAAAGCAAACACCAAAAGGTGCGGATATCAATAATGAAACTGTATTTATCAGAAAATGCTCACCAAATGTTTATTAAAAATGCCTTAAATGTTTAGTTTGCAAAAAAGTTTTGTTTTACCAGTTGTTTTGTATTATAGAATTTAATAATTAATGTTTATGAGTTTCTTTAAACGTGCTTTTACATGGTGATTCATGCTTTAATATGGAAATTTTTCATAAAATCACTTTGCCTTTCCAGTAATATTTATTTTCATAGATATCGTAATAAAGAAGGAGTTGTCCAACACTTATGTACTTTTTTTATGTGAACAATTGTGTATTTTCATTTCTCTTGTGCCATAAAAAGTACAGAACAGTATCATAAGAGGTCTTTTCTGTACCATATAAGGTACAACTTTAACAAAGGTACAAAACTGTTCCTGAAGGTAAATTATTTGTCCCACGATGTAGCTTTTTTTCTGAGAGTGTGCAGTAGTAGTATTTTATGTCATATGGCACAGCCCTTATCTGCATTAGAGATAATTTACACACACACACACAGACACAAAAAAATAGCCATTATTTCCTAACCCTCGCATTGTTTCAAGCCCAAATGACATTTTTCAAAACCAAAAAATATTAACGTCACTGTTCACTTTTGTTGCGTTGCCTGCAGTGTAAGTGAATCATTCTAAAATCTCTTTTGGCTTTTCATTGAACAAAAGAAATTGACACCAGCTTGGAACAACACGAGTGTGAGGAAATGATGAAAGTGTTGTCATTTCCTGAGTTAACAGCATCTTCACTGTGTTTGGCAGAGGCTCCATGTGCCACCCCATTAGTGTGCAGTCTGGGCCGTCCCGTCGACCTTGAGAAGGACGACTACCAGCGTGTGGTGTGCAACAGTGAACTCTGCCCCTATGGCAACTGGATGCACCTGCAGTGCTTTTATGAGTGGGAGAGCAGCATCCTGGTGCAGTTCAACTGCATCGGCCGGGCGCGCAGCTGGAACGAGAAGCAGTGCCGGCAGAACATGTGGACCAAAAAAGGCTACGATCTGGCCTTCCGCTTCTGCTCTTGCCGCTGCGGCCAGGGACACCTGAAAAAGGATACAGACTGGTACCAGGTGAAGCGCATGCAGGACGAGCGCAAGAAAAAGATGCCTGAGAAGGGGAGCGGAAAGCTCAGCAGCATGGCCTGCGGAGGTGGTGCTTGCGGCGGGCCGGAAACTGCCGACGAGCCCAAGAAAGGGAAATCTCCAGCGAGTCATAAGCTGGCGCACCGTGGCTCCAGTCAGGAGCTTTCACGCAGACAATCAGCAGATTGGCAGAACTGTCAGGAGCGATGTCACGCTGGTCCTCTCAATGCAGTCGGTGGGATGTCCCACGGGCTGCGCTCCCCTTGTGAATCCCCGGCTCAGTCCCCTCCGTCAGGCTTCTCCTCCTTCTCCCCTCAGCCTCTCGGCGGGCCGCGCAGCTCCAGACATCTGGGCGAGTTCCTAAAGAACGCGGTTCATACAGAAGGACACAAGAAGCACTTTCAGGCTGGGGGTCTGGTAGGACGAGGGGCTCTTCTGGAGCAGGGAGCTGCCAACATGTGCCTGCCTCGGCTTGACAACCCCGTGCAGTTCCTGAGGAGGCTGGATCTTTCAGAGCTGCTCACGCACATTCCCAGGCACAAACTCAACACGTATCATGTGCGCATGGAGGACGATGCCCAAGCCGGGCAGGGAGAGGATCTCAGGAAGTTCATCCTCTCTGCTCTCAGTGCCAGTCACCGTAACGTGGTGAACTGTGCCCTGTGCCATCACACGCTGCCCATCTTTGAGCAGTTCCCTTTAGTGGACGGAACCCTGTTTCTAAGCCCCTCGCGCCATGATGAGATTGAGTATGATGTACCTTGCCACTTACAAGGTGAGCAAATCCACTATTATTCATCATTAAACTTGTTTTAGTTAAGAAAGACGTCCTGAATTATGTCAAGCATGAACATTTTTAATGTTTTCTTTCAGATTATTTATTTTAAGATTGCTCATTGTAGTGTTTTACGTTATGAGAAAAATAATATTTCATCCAAAAATAGTTTTTTTGTCTCATTTACTCTCTCTTTATTTGTTTCAAACCTTTCTGAGCTTCTTTCTTCTGTTGAACACAAAATAAGTTATTTTCAAAAATGTTGGAAACCTGTAACCATTGACTTGCATAGCAATTATTTGATGGTTAAAAGTTTTTAGTTTTTTTTTTAAATATCTTTCTTTGTGTCCAACTGAAGAAAGAAACTCAAAAAGGTTTGAACACCACTTGAGGGTGTAAATACTGAGTAATTCTTCATTTTTGAATGAGCTATCACTTCAGTCATTTGATGCTTTTATCCAAAGCTACTTTCAAATGGGAAATTTGACTTTGAAATTGAATTTGAAATCACCTCAATATCACTGTCTAAACATTTCTCAATATTAAGTATAAGGTAAACACTAGTATTTGTTGAGATTGCTGGATCATTTGCTATTTTGTATTTCATGTACATTTCTGCAATTTTAAAGCTTATAATACCTTTGCTACGTTTGCTACATTGTTACATTAACTTTAATTCTATATGTAAATATGCTAATAATTCAAAAGCGTTAAATGCTAAATGTAATCTTTAGCAAATCTAATATCAATTATCATAACACTGTGATAACATTAAAAGGGATAATTCAGTTTTGACACAAAAGAAAATATTTTGAAAAATGTTGGAAACCTGTTACCATTGACTTGTTTGAAATCAATGGTTACAAGTTTTCAGCTTTCTTCATACTATCTTATTTTGTGTCCAACAGAAGAAAGAAACTCATAAGGGTTTGAACTAGGGTTGGGCATCTAAGCTATAATGCTGATCCGATACGCATCTCGATACAAAGAATACGATCCGATATATTAGCGATATATTTGTGACATATTGCGATGCAACACGATACGATTCACACCCATATCACGATACAATGCGATAATTCAGCACTAACTTATAAGATCAAGTTTATGAGATGATGTAAGAAAGGATGCTGTGCCATTGAATGAGTTTGATTATTTATTAACCAAGCAAAACCAAGACTTTTTTACAAACTAGCTTTTCTCTCAGAGCCAGAGTGTCAGTTTACAGTAGAGGGCCATTTTAGAACATATAGCACATATTATTTAAGTATTTTCAAAATAAACAAAATGTATAAGTGCAATAAATATTAAAAATACATATATTTGCATTCTTTCAACATAAAGGTTTACCATTGCACAACAAGAATTGTGATTTAACTTTTCAACTATGAAAACAAGTTTTACAAAGGTATATTTTGCCACTGAATATTCAAAACTTAAGGTCGTGAACTAGCAGTGTTATGCTGCTTTGAAACATCACTTGCACTGTAAACAACAGGCTAATACAAATATAAATAAATACAAATTAACAGGAGGAGGTTTAAAACCTTCGTTCTCCGTGACACTAGGCTGAATATCTTTGCAGATGAACAATGCAATAGCATTCGTTATTGGCGTAGAGCGCACAAAACTGTTGCGCATGGAAACAACTTTCAATGCTTTTCTCACCACTTTTGGAGCTGGTAGCTACAGTTGAACCAAAGCAGGAAGCCGGGGATGCAGGAACACTGGAAGATGCTTCCACAACAACACAGAGGCGCCGCTTCAAGTGAGATATCAGATTAGTCGTACTGCACGTGTATTTTACAGATGCGTGGCACATTTTGCAAATTGCATCTGTCCTGTCAAGTCGTCCATCTTTTTTGTAAAATCCATAATGTTTCCATACTTTAGATTTAAAACTCAGTGGGGAATAAAATGTTTGTTTTGCTTCTCGGGCTTTCTGAGGGCGCTCCACTAGCTTCATCCGCACACCTGATACACTGAGTTGTGTATACATTCGCAAGTCCGTTGCTAAGGCATACTTTATGTAGGTCGATTAAATTATGCGCCAAAAACAGGTTGACAACACTTGTTAATAAATAAAAAATACATTCTATATTAAAAATATAAGTTGTATCTTGGAAAAACCGATGCATCTCGCAAAAACCGATGCATCTCGATTTGCTTCCAAAATTTCATTCATCCTCTGCTGCTCTACCGATGCACTCACATCGTGCACGCGCATGACCGCGTATCGATACATATCGATTAATCTTCCCATCCCTAGTTTGAACACCACTTGAGGGTGAGTAAATAGTGAGTAAATCTTCATTTTTGGGTGAGCTATCCCTTTAATCATTTGGCGGATGCTTTTATCCAAAGTTACTTGCAAATTAGAAATGTTTTACAGTATGCTCAGTTACTGTAGAAGCACAGTCAATTACTTTAATATCACTGTCTACAGAATTCTCAGTAAGTAAAGTACAGGCTAGTATTGCCTAAGATTCCTGATCGTTTTGGATTTCATACACAATTCTCCCATTTTAACATTTACAGTAGATTAGATTTGCTGTCATTGTATATTGACTCAAATTGTATATGTAAACATCCTTTCATAATTATGCTCTGATACCTTTACCATTTGAAGGAATAATTCACCCAAAACTGAACATTCTGAGTTCTTTATTTTTTTGACACAAAAGAAGATATTTAGAAAAACGTTGAAACCTTGCAACCATTAACTTGTTTTTCCTATTGTGGAAGTCAATGGTTACAGGTTTTCAACTTTCTTCAAAATATCTTCTCTTGTATCCAACAGAAGAAAGAAACTCATAAAGGTTTAGACATCACTTGATAAAGCTTCATAACACTGTGATAACATGTAAAGGGATAGTTCACCCAAAACGGAACATTCTTTATGCTTTTTGACACAAAAGAAGATATTTAGAAAAATGTTGGAAACCTGCAACTATTGACTTGTTTGAAGTCAATGGTTACAGGTTTTCAGCTTTCTTTAAAATATCTTCTTTTGTGTTAAACTCATAATGGTTTGGGACTTGAAGGCAAGTTAATAGTGAGTAAATCTTCATTTTTGGGTGAGCTATTCCTTCAATCATTTGGTGGATGCTTATATCCAAAGTTACTTGCAAATGAGAAATGAAACACACTCAGAGAATTAGGGGGCCCCAAACATGGGCAAGAACCTTATATTAATCCTATAGCTCTTTTATAAATATATCAATATTTCAGAAACCTTGTTTTAATAAAACCAGTATTAAACAACAGTCCACATTTTTGAATCTTACTCATTCAAAACGTCATCATTACTCTGATATTTTAATGCCAATATTAAGTGTAAATGAAATGTTAAGGACTTTCATGGTGCTACATACTGGCAATCAGGGGTGGACTTGATTAGGAGCGAGGTAAGCAGACCAATGTGAAGAAGCCTATATTAATCATATAGCTCTTTTATAGATTTTCTATCATATGTTGTGAGATCTGTCTATAACCATTAAGATTTTAATGCTATTACTTCTTTTCAAAACCCTGGGCCCCCATGAATAGTGAAACGTTCCCTCTGTACCGCACATGCAAATATTAAAATCTGATCACAAATATGGTTTATTAATCTTAACTGTACATATAGTGTAAACTTTTTTTTTTTTGTGAATTTATTGTATTTAATTTTAGATTAAGAATATAAAGGTTCCACTTAAAATATATTTCTAACATGCAGTTTATTTTCATAAAAACGAACCTACAGAGAAAATCTATAGAGAAAGAGTTTTAATGCTAGGGCCACATACATGGGATTGCTTAGGGCCCCCAAATCACTAAGTCCGCCCCTGGTCACCTCAATATCATTGTCTAAAAAGTTTCTCAATATTAAGTAAAAGCTAAACACTATTATAAAATCTCATATCTGTTATCATAACTCAAGACTTAAAGAAATAATTTACCCAAAACTGAACTGAACATCCGAGTTCTTTATTGAAAAATATATTTTCCTACCATTAAATCCAATGGTTGCAGGTTTTCAGCTTTCCCTAAGCATTAGCGTTCATCAACGCGTTCATTTTCCCGTCTTTAGCGTTCAAATCAAATCAATCAAAGAAATGCATAAAGCTTTAGAACCAATACAGCAGGGGTGTCAAACTCAATTCCTGGAGGGCCGAAGCCTGCACAGTTTAGTTTCAACCCTGCTCCAACACTCTTACCTGTAGGTTTCAAACAAGCCTGAAGGACTCAATTAGTTTGATCAGGTGTGTTTAATTAGGGTTGGAACTAAACTGTGCAGAGCTGCGGCCCTTTTGGAACTGAGTTTGACACCTGTGCACTAGAGGGTGAGTAAATAGTGAGTACATTGTCATTTTTTGGTTGAAATATCCCTATTAAATGATCGAAAGCACAATTGGATCGATTTTAACAATGTCCATTTACTCTTAATCATCTTTTAATTATCAAACAATTTCCACACCGTTTTGTAAGGTTGATGTTTGCATTTTTAGTAGTGAAATTATAAATATCCCTAAAACACAAATGTCACTTACTTTCTTGTTGCTGGTATAATGAAAGTTTTCTTTTACTCGATTCTTTCTCTGTTCTTCTTATTAAAAAGAACACAGTGGTTTGGAGCATCGCAAGCACACCGTTAATGGCTTAAAAAAATAGCAAGAACAGCAAAAAACTTTTCCAGCCTTGCCATTTATATTAAACGATGCCGGGCTGAGTCGTTGATGAACTCTGTATGATAATAAGTTTTCACCACAGCAATAACAACTCAAGTGGCATTTGCGAATGAAATATGACTGTTGTTGAATACTAAAGCAAGGATGTTTTCAGTGAAATATCAAAAAGCGTTTAGTTGATTGAGAATAAAAGACATCCTTTTCTTCTCCTAATTAAGAAGCAAAGCAGCTGTGACAGATAATAATGCTTTGATCGTGGCATGTCATTAAATCCCTATTAGAATATATTTTCATGAATTAGTGTCTGATTGCAGTTTAAAAGGGGTTTCTGTTTATGTTCTAAAGGGAGGCTGATGCACCTTTATGCCATCTGCGTGGACTGCCTGGAAGGAGTGCACAAAATCGTGTGTATAAAGTGCAAGTCCAGGTGGGATGGAAGCTGGCACCAGTTGGGCACAATGTATACATACGATATACTGGCTGCGTCGCCGTGCTGTCAGGTAATGCATTTGTTTGTTTTCTGTATTATATTTCATATATTTAGGTTATTAGCCCTTTTGTGAATATTCTAAGAAGAGAATATTCCAAATATTCTCCAAGTCATGTTTAACAGACATTTTTAGGGTACTTCCTATAATTTTTTTTTCTGAAAAAAGTTGTATTTATTTTAGTTTGGTGGGAATAAAAGCAGTTTTTACACCTTTAAGGTCAGTGGACCCATTTTACAAGACTATTATAACATGTTTTGTAGAGCTGTGCGATTTAGGGAAAATATCTAATTGCGATTATTTATTTTTTTGATTGTTACATCCCTTCCGTTACTTTTTTATGGTCAAGGGGGAACGAAAAGGAAAACATTAAGCCGGTTATGATTATTGCTGCCATTTACAATAGATGAGGAACAACAAGACACGAAAGTGCTATTTAAGTGAACTTGTTGTCATTATAAACAAGCTGTGGATGTTTAAATGCGTATGGAAAATAAAGTTTCACACAAAAGTAGTTACTACAACGATTTCTCAACAAAAAATAAAATAAAATAAACAAGTTTAACAGAAATAAGGAGGATAAAGGGAAGGGACTGTTCCAAACAAAAGAAAAGAATAAATCAAAACTCAGCTAACTAACCTAATAAAATCTTCCCCTAGAACTACAAATTAAAACAAAAAGTAAACCTTCAACGTCTGAGACATCGTATCTTACTTACTCTCTCCTTCCAAAGCAAAACTTACAAGTGTGGCACAAATCCGTAACCTGGTATAACTAAAAGAATGCTGCGTGTTCGCAATGTTCATCACGTAACAAAGCTTACCTATTCCCACTCCTCTATCCAGAATATTACACTGATACAATGTTCACACTCCAGTTATCAAAAACAAAAACGTTTCAGTATTTACATGTCAAACAAAGCACACCAACAAAAGTTAATCAAACAATGATGGATCAAAGCAAAAGGGGAAGAAACACACACTCAAAACAAGTGTCAAACACAGCTTAAGTTCACAAGAAATGTCAGCTTATCCTGAACTGATGCAGCATTTTCCTTATATAGTGTCCCACCATCCTGCAGCGCAACGATTGGAACTCTTCTCTATTGCGTCATCGCATGTCAGTCTGTGTCTTGAATGATTGACATCCAACACAGCCAACCTGCGTATCCTATAAACGCAAAAAAAAAAAACAGCAAAAGCAAAACAACAGTCCCCAAACGACATAGACGTAACACAGATATTACGATTTCGATTTGATTCGCAATTTATTTTGTAGTCAAGCTTCAGCTCAATAAACTGTATCATAGCTTACATTTCTTAAATCCAGTGAGTGTTAGTTAAAAAAGGATCTGAAAAGAGATTAACTTACTTAAGGTAAATGTTTTTAAATATTCAGAAATGAATCACGCATTTTTCTCTAGAGCAGACAGTAAACATAAATAAAATAACCTTACCTTTCTGTAAACATGTTGAACTCAGATTAGGGAGATGGTGTAGCTTATTATACAAAAAAAAAAACAGTAATTATAAAACTACAGAACACTCAGCAAACTAACACGGCTAAAACAACTCTGAAATAGTAGTTTGCTGTTGCTTGCTACTAGTTTGAGTGTCACTGGCAATACTTTCAGTTGACCTTTTAGCAAGACGCTCCTCATATAGCTGCCTGTGGTGCTTTTTTAGGTGCTGGTTGTTGTATTTCCTCATGCTGTGAAAACAGTTCTTACAAATTACCGGTTTGTATTTAATGTCTGTGACATTGAAACCAAAATATTTCCATATTACAGATGTCCTGTTTTTATTTGATATTAATTCGTCTATTAATGCTTCTGAAGTGGCAAATGCTATCATCACTCTGAAGCGCTTTCCTGTTTGTTAGTTTTTAAATTTCTTTTTATTGTGGGCTTTCCGCATAGTTCAGTATAGCAATTCTGATTGGGCAGAACGAAAGTGTGCTCACTCAATTGGTTAGTAAGACTGTCGCACACGGACATCAGTTACGCATTTGCTCTGGGCGGGGGAAATTAAATAATACATATATATTTCACATTTTTCACATATACATTTTTCACTTCAATAAATTTTTTAGATGTTGTAAATATATTGCACCATGGTCGCTTTAATATTAAAACAGCAAAGCTATTGGAAATGCAGTTAGAGCAAAACTGTTCTGTGGCGCTCCAGGAATTGAGTTTGAGACTTATACTCTAAATGAAACACTGATGAAATGGTTCACAGCAAATTTTTGCAAACATTTATAAAGTCTGAATTTTAAAAAAGCTAATTAAGTTGAACATTACTAAATTAAGTAGTTTGTTTAAATTCAGCGCATATAATTTGTTTACAGTCAATTCCTGTCCTATGTATAATTCAATTAATGCAATATAGAGACAGGTTTGACTTATTTGAGGTCAAAATTTGAGGTCACAGATTAATCCTATTTGAAGTTATGCAAACTGGAGTAAAAAAATCTGTTTTTCAAACATATTTCATGAGTGACATTATATTCTGAAGTATAATAGAGAAAAGTTAACTGAGGTTTTTAAAAAGAACACTGATCAAAATTAGAGAACGCCTTCAGATACATCACAGCTATTGGAGATATTCAGGTGATCAATTCTCTGATAAATTCTACTTAATGGCAGCATAACTTTCTGGTTTTAACTGACTTTGTAAAATGGTGAGCAGTTGGAAGGTGACTAAAACCCTCTGACAGCAGGTTGTCAGCAGGCCTCGACACTTCCTACTCACTTTTGACTGCTGTAACTTTCAGACATTTTAACTATAATCTTTGTTCATGCTTCAATCATTGTTGCTCTCTAATGGTGATCAATTATGATGAAGATTACATTATTTCTATATATATATATATATATATATATATATATATATATATATATATATATATATATATATATATATATATATATATATATATATATATATATATATATATATATATGTATATATGTATGTATAAATATATAAATAAATTTACATTTTTGGGTGAACTAACTATTATCCTTTAAATATAGATCAGTGTATTTGTTTCGTCTCAAGATGGACTAAACCCAGGCCCAAGTATTTATAAATTGTTCTTTAATGTTGATCTTTAATGCATATCTGTATTTATCCATGTGTGTGTGTACTGGTTTTGGTGGTTTATGAAGACAATAGTATATATAATGACATGGGTATGACCAGCCTGATCTAACAATGAAATGTGCTGTTTTACGTTTTGTCAGTTCAGTGGCTAATTCTAGTTTAGTCGAACGAAAATGTTTGATTTTAAAAAGGTGGCGTGGCATCAAACCCCACCCCCAAACCCAACCGTCATTGGGGGATGAGCAAATCATACTTAATTGTATGAATAAGATTGTACAAATTCATACGAATTATCCACTAAATAAAAAAGTTACAAATTGCCACGTGATACCGTTTGTATGGCCTAATTATTACAACATTGAGATGGCTTTTGAGGACATGCCTTGTGTCCTCGTAATCCAAAAATGTTAAAAACATGCTTTTCACATTCAAAATTTGCTTCAGGTTTCCTGTGAGGGTTGGCTGTAGAGATCAGGGTAGGGTAAGACCATAAGCATTACTTTACAGTTTAAAGTACATTAATTTATGCCTATTGAGAGTCCTCATTAACCACCAAATCCAACATGTGTGTGGTTCTATTATAACTAAAGCTGTGTAAATGTGCTCTTACTTTCTCTGTCTGCCTAGGCCCGGCTGAACTGCAAGCATTGTGGGAAACCGGTCATAGATGTACGTGTGGGTATGCAGTATTTTTCCGAGTACAGCAATGTACAGCAGTGTCCTCACTGCGGCAATCTGGACTATCACTTTGTAAAGCCATTCTCCTCGTTCAAAGTTCTCGAAGCTTATTGACGAAAGTTGTGTTTGCATGCTAGTACTTTTCTCTATTTTTTTCTATTCATAGAATTACTTATTTTGGGCTCTCGTCGACACTTTGTGTGGGATTAGTTCTCTTTAGGAACAAACTAGAACGAATCAAAGCATATGACGTTGCGCCAGAGCGCGTCTTTTATTAAGAAAGAAACAAAAAAAGGGTGTGCTTTTGCGTATATTCTAATGCCATCCTTCAAATGTTTGAGCTTGCATTAAAAAAAACAAAGCAACAACAATACTGTGACAAGTGAATGTATCTCTGTATGCCAAATTTGCTCTTTTATACAAAAAAAAAAAGAAAACAATAAAATACATAAAAGAACGCTCTCTCTTTTCACTGAGTAATTATTAATTATTCCATGGCTCGGTCAGTTATCTTTTTGATCGCAATCTCATTCCGCCCATGGGTCTTTCTACATAATTACTGTTTTCCATCTCAAATAGCAGTGCTCAATTGCAGATCAAGCCGCTTCTTTGATAAAGTAATGAAGAGACGCTCTCATGTGGGCAACCTTTGGTTTCATCAGTCTTGAAAAACAAAGACTTTGATTGAATGAGAGAAATAAATCAATTCATGGGTAAAATTCAAATACACTAGAACAGATTTTAAAAGATGACTCTAAGGCAGTGGTGCCCACACTTTTTCAGCATGCGAGCTACTTATAAAATGACCACGTCAAAATGATCTACCTAATATAAAAACAACCCAGGCTCATTCTGAGTATGTACACTATTTAACGTTTACATTTCTGGAGAATGCCAAATATGTCCCAGGAGCTACGTTTTTTTTCCCAGTTTTTGTTTTCGCAAATTTGCCAAAGGCCACTATGTACGCTTTTTGAGATAAAATTTTTTTCTCGTGTCGGCGCAATAGCCTAGTGGTTAGCACGTCGACATATGGTGCAGTAGCACGTCAGGGCGTCCCATGTTCGAATCCCGGCTCGAGGACATTTCCCTACCCTACCCCCTCTCTCTCTCTCCAACTTCGCTTCCTGTCTAAATACTGTCCTATCTAATAAAAAAGGCCAAAAATAAATCTTTAAAAAAAAATACAAATAAAAAAAAAATTTCTCTTGAGTGCAAAACACAGATTATTAAAATTTGACATATTATTTAAATTATTTGTTGTAAAACATACAATTAATGTTTTTTCTTTTGTCAACAAAGCAATATGATCAACACAGGCTCATTCTGAAAATGTAGTTCCGCAGACTATTTTGGAGACCGCGAATTACGTAGCCTGAGGTTTGTATAGCTGCATTAAATTTTGTTATGCTAACGCTATGGGACGGTATGATGCCATTCCGTCTGGCACTTACCGGCTGGCCGCTTACCTCCTTGTGGAGGGCTTTCCTGCTGCAACCAGTTTGTCTAGTTAGCTCGTTATGTACGTCATCGACTTGAGGCACAGAGAGGAGTTGACCGCGACAATGACCGCGTTCGAGTCCAGGAAAGAGCGATTCCAGAAATCAGTTAAGACAAAAATAGAATCCAAAAAACGAGTGAACATCAGGATGAGAATGTGGTAAAATCCGAAAATGTGGTAAAAATCAGACGAGGGCTTTTCCTTTTCTGAACGGCTTTTGTTAACCGTCAGCTGGGTTTAGGGAAGAAAGCGGGCGGGCGGGTGGGTCATTCAGTAAAATAAGTTGGGTTTAGGAAAAAAGGAGAGTGGGTCGGTCTAATGGCCGGTCAACCAGTCAATCATTCAGTCGGTTGACGGCGGCCTCCAGTGGGTTCACTCGAGAACAGCGCAGACGCGAACGGCACCCGTGAGAGGCATTTGAGATGCGAAAAAGCGAGCACAGCAGCCTCTCGTGAAAAACAAAAACTGAAAAAATACGTACCTCCTGGGACGTATTTTGCGGTCTCCAGAAATGTCCACGGGACTTTGTTTTTTAGAATGAGCCTTAGTTGAAAATAATAAACTCTATTTGCTAGTTCCATGGAAAAAACATGTCTAACAAATCTTGGCCTCTGAGATTATGCTGATTTGTCCTGTGGTGTGCATTTGTTTGTAGGTTTTGTAGATACAAGCATCACCCCAAATAATAATAATAATAATAAAACTGAATAATGTTAGTTGTCACATAATATGAATATGTAAAATGGGTTGACCAAATTGATCTTTTACTGTATTGTTTGTGTTAAATTAAGTCTGCTTAGATCAAAAAGATATATAATGAAAACTATTAAGTCTATTGCTTTTTTTCATTGCTAATTATGTAATTCTTTTTGCATTTTAAGAGTAATATACAACTTGAAAAAGTTCTTACTTTTACATTTTCCTTACTAAAGTTTTGTTCACACCTCCGATTATAACTGTAAAGACATGTTTTTTAAAAATTGTTTTAAATATGCAGGAATACCAGCATCCACACCACAATTACAACAGTTAAAGCACACGGACACAATTTTGTTGAAATCACTTTTAACTGAAAAATGAGGAAAACATTAGCTATGTTTCCATCCACCTATTTTATTTGCAAAATGAAAAATATTCTATTTATTTGCAAAATGCGCATAAAAAAACAGTTGATGGAAACGCCATGATGCGCATAAATTTTGAAAATGCGCATAAAAAACGTATGCGCCTAACTGGGTAGGATAAACTTTTTATTCGATAAGAAAAGATGCGCATAAACTGCGATGGAAACACTTTTACCGCACAAACTCCAGCATGCGCATTAAAAAAGGTCATGTGATTTTGTTCAAAGAGATCATGTGATGCTTAAAATGTGTGTGAATGGATAAAACGTCAGGCTGAGCACATTATAAAACATCTGAAATGTTGTTTTGGTCATTATAAAACGCCTTACCATTTCAGTATTAATGTTATTACATTATTAATGACCTCCAGAATCAAGAGCGCCTGTGCTCCGCGTCTGACACCTTCAAACGCCACTACGCGCTCACTGCTTGTCAGGATTGTCTTCTGAGGCACATTCATTTAGAAAAGATTGACGCAGCTTCTCCTACTGCAGCAAATGCAGTTTTTACTGTTGATATTTGGCGCCAGTTAATCAGGAAGTAAAGATTTTGTTCGCTTTGACTCGTTGGATGGAAACGATGCTTCATTCGCACAACTTTTATGCGATAATCCAGTTTTGCGCATAAAGTTTATTCACATTTTTGGATGGAAACATAGCTATTGACAGCCAATCAGAATGCATCCTGCCTTAACGGAACACTCCGATCTCCAATCTGGTGGGAGCACATTTAGCTTAGCTTAGCATAGATCAATAAATTGCATCAGATCATTAGCATCTTCTTGTAAAATGACTTAAGTGTTTTGATAATTTTCCTATTGAAAGCGTGATACTGCTGTTGTTTCATTATTAACTGAGTTTGATGTAAAATGAAAAGGTACTATTTTATAGGTAGATAATATCCTTGCCTGCTGCAGCCATGGTACGGTAGCAAAGTTTCTTGATTATTATGCTGCATTGAGTGTATAGTTTCTAGACCATAGATTGTAAAAGATATGAACGCAGTATCAGTGATATCACCCATAGGTTTCTGAAAAGCGCAAATAAAGCTACAAGTAGGCATGGATAACTGTCATCAGTTTGTTCGAGCGTCATTGCATCGACCATGTGTAATCAAAAAAGGGCAAAGAGGCAGAGCATGAGCGGAGCTACAGACGCCTGCCAACATTTTGCTTAGACGGGATTTCCTATGGGAAAAACGCTTAATACTTCATTACCTGCGACTCGTTTGTGTTCTGACCACGTGCTTGGATGTATACTATATCAATAAAGTGTTTAGACTTTTAAAATAACTGTTGTAACACATTGAGCAACTAAGCATTGTTCTTATGATGTTTTTCTACCCAAATTACTTGCCACTTCAAATTACCAAACACTTCAAATTTAGTCTGTGCTAGGAAATGCAAGGCTATTTATGAAATCCAGGCATAACACTGTATGACCATGTTTCAGAAGACTGTTCTAGAGCCTACAGCTAATCAATCAGTCATATTTTGGAGTGCATTCAAGATCGAAATAAATGATCTTAAATATAACAAATACATTTATAGATATGGTATATAAATATAAAAGAATTTCACTCACCTGGAAAATGGAGGCCACCTGAATAGTTTGTGAACACAATTAAGTGCACAAAGCATACCGTATTATCTTATAGGCAATTGACTGTGTAAAGCCACATAAAGCAAAACAACAATACATTATATAAGCCAAGTTCAGCAACTAATCAGCTGGAATCATGAGGTGACGTGGCGGCAACAGACGAGACCTAGCTGTCGCTCAAGTGGCCACAGCCGCCACGTCCCTAATTATGCAGACTTGATGTAACTTAATAAAAACTAAACGAATGAGTTATAAAAAAAAAAATCACCCCTCACAGTTGTCATGAATGGTAATATCAGCTTTATGAACCTAAATCATTTTTGTACCAGGCTGCTTTTTTCTGCTGTATTGTTGGCCATTTTAACATTGGGCTTAATAGAAATGTGCTGTATTTTGGAGCCAGTCCTAGTGGAATTTGATGAATTGCAGTTTTAGTTACGTCCGTTTTAGCGTCACAAGGGAGAGCGGGAGGTTGTCATTTGTTCTAAACAGAACAGCCTAAAAAATATAAACTTTTTATTTTCCGATGGTCTTAGTACACAATGTAACTACAAAAGAGTCATGCTTTAAATTCTAAAATTATCAAAACTCTTTGATCCTTTTTGAGCGATATGCTAACGGTCTAATCCGATTCAATAATCTATGCTAAGCTAAGCTAAAAATGCTTCTACCAAACCCCGGAGATCAGCTAAATGGATTAAAAAGTGATTGCTTGTAGTAACAGATTGATTGTGAACATGCATTGTTGTAGTAAACACAAATATAATTATGCACACAGCTGTAATAATTATCATTCTTAGTGTGAACATGTCTTAACCCTATAGCAGTGTTCTGAAGTTAAATGTTTACACAAACCTCTTTTTTATGTGTGTGTATTTTTAATGCCTCTATATTTTATTCTTCAGGCTAAAGGTCACGTTAAATACAATCCCGCTGGCTTCCTCATTCCCACTCATGACCATAACTGCTGCTCCTGATATAAATTCACATTCTGTTAGAAGCTGGGACTGCCTGCAGGTATAACTCAGTATTCTCAGACTTGCTCTGAATCTTAAATTTTTTAACAAAGTGTAGTTTGTTCCAACAGAAGCGATGCATTTGTGTGTGCTTATGACTTTGTGTGTGTTTAATAGTACAAAAGTGCTTTCATTATGCACATAGAGGAATGCCATAGAACTAATGTACACAAATGATGTATGCATGTACGAGTACATGATGATTTGGAAAGAATGCGGGGTATTTAAGGTACGGTATGTGTAATTTATGAACAGAAAATGATGTGAAGGCATTTATATAAATTAACAGTCAGTACATCTTGCAGGTGTAGACACTGAATTATTCTGAACAGTGTAAGCATGAAGGCTTTTTAGGCTGTTGCCATGGAAACTGCTGCTTGAGTAAGAATCATGGTGTGCAATAGGAGTTATTGTATGCTAGTGGACAGCAGTTAACATAATTCATCACCAATCTCACTGCTTTTGAATGCTTTTCTATGAAAAGATTAATTTTGGATATTAAATAATGCAACCCAGGCTTATTCTGAAAACGTAGCTTTATATACATTTCTGGAGAGCATCAAAGTTGTCTTAGGAGGTACGTTTTTTGCAGTTTTTGTTTTCACGAATCCCCCATAGGCCGCTGTGTATGCTTTTTGAGATCTCAAATATCTCTCATGAGTACCATTCGCACCTGATGTTCTTACGTAACTCCACCAGAGGCCGCTGTCGACTGATCGACTGACTGGCCAATCGACTGACCCACCCTCCTCCTTGACTAAACCCAACCAATAGTGTTTTCAAAAGCACTGATTGACCTGCTCACCCACTTCTCTAAACCCAACCAACAGTTTTAAAAACTACCCAGGCTCATTCTGAAAACGTAGTCCCGTGGACGTTTCTGGAGACCGCGAAATACGTAGCCGGAGGTACGTATGGCTGTATTTCATTTTTTTAACCGAACACTGAACAAAAGAAAAGCCCTCGCCGTTTTTTTTACCACGTTTTCAGATCTTAGCAAATTCTCATCCTGTTATTTACTTGTTTATTTTAGTTTATGACATCTGTTTTTGTCTTACCTGGATTCAGAAACTGTTCTAGACTGACGTGGTCAACTCCTCTCTTCTCACACGGCGAGCCACTGGACAAACTGGTAACAGCAGGAAAGCCGTTCAAACAGAGAAAAGCGGTCAGCTGGTAAGCACAAAAACAGACTGTCATACCGCCCCATAGCATTCCTTCTCATACTTCCGCCTCCGCATCAAAGTTCCTGAAAGCAAAGAAGGTTGATTTGCTCCAGGATTGGCCAGCCCAGTCACCAGATATGAACATGATTAAGCATATCTGGGGTAAGATTAAGGAGGGGGCATTGAAGATGAATCCAAAGAATCTTGATGAACTCTGGGAGTCCTGCAGGAAAACTTTCCTTGCCATACTATATCACTTATTAATAAGTTATTTGAGTCACTGCAGAGATGTTTGGATGCAGTCCTCCAAGCTCATGGGAGTCATACACAATATTAATTCTTTTTCCACTGCACCATGACTTTATATTCTATACTGTACATTTGTCTATGCAAAGTCTGACCTTACTGTCATGATTTAATAATTAAAAATCAAGTCATGGTCATATTTTATGTTTTATTTAAGTGAAATCTAGAAGCTTTTGCCTTTCATATAAGCACTTCTGATACCAAATGATCAACTAAAAGTCAAATTGTTGTTTGTTATTTTTAAAATTTGGATAGGCAACAAGACTTTGGTCAGGTAGTGTACATTGTATTTATTTTTAGAATGTAAGTACATGTAGTTAAGGCCACTTAATATGTAGTGAAACCAGGTTTTTGACAAGTGAAGGGTGAGTATATGATGACAGAATTTTTAGTTTTAGCTGGACTATCCCTTTAAATGAGAAGTTACTTTTTTTTTGGAAAAAAAGAGATCAGAATGTTGACTTGTATAATGTTTATTAATACACACTGTAATAAGTAAAAGTCATATGGCTCAACAAGTAAAATCATAATATAAAAAGGTAACACTTTAGTTTAGGTACTGGGTTATTATTACCTGCCTATAATTAAGATATTGACTATTTATTAGTACTTATGAAGTATATTCTTATTCTACATTTCTAAACCTACCCAATATTTAAACCCAACCGCTTCCTGACTAACTAATAATAAGTAGCTAAATAGTAGCTTTATTGAGCTAAAAGTCTATCTAAATAGTAAATATTTTAGTAATAGAGTGAATTGTACATTAAAATAAAGTGTGACCTATAAAAAAGTAATATATTTGCTAAGTATTAACTAATCATTAATTCAAGCAGACAACTGGATGTTCGAAATGCATTGTCATAAATAATGCTTAATTTACACAATTAGCCAAAGAAGTATTAGTGATAAAATAGCAGTACATCAACACATTTAATTCACAGCAATTCATATATTTCTTAATCTGTTAATTAGGTAGATGGATGTGCCAATCGTTAATGAATGTTTTAGTTCCTGTTGCATTAACTGGTATCTCATGATCTGTGCTAGCCGATTCGAATGTTATCATTGGATTGAATGGGCGTTATCAGTGGTTATCAGCTGATAGATACAGTATGGGCCAAGTAGGGGCCTTCTGCGCCCACTGGTAGACTCAGAAAGCTGTTATCATCCATCCACATGGTTAATCAGTTATAGATCACATATGGCTGCCTGTGGCGGAAAGTTAACGAGAACTATATATATTATTTATTAGATTTCCCAATAATTGTATTTTATTAACATCTACCCCAACCCACACCGAACCATCAGAGCAATGTAAAAACAGATCTGGATCTACAGTCTTCTCTTTTAGTATAGCTAATTAACCATATGGATGGATGAGAACAGCCTTCTGAGCCTACCAGTAGACACTGAAGGCCCCTACTGGCCCATATCTATCAGCTGATAACCACTAATAACGCCCATTCAATCGAGTGATAACATTCAAAGCGGGTGTCAATATTTGAAAGTGTTGCCATTCATCTTAGTTTGATCAATTTCATAATTAAAAGATGTATTTGTAACACTGAAAGCATGTGCAAACAATAAGCAACTTAATTTGTATTGATTAAAATGCACAATGTTTAATAAAGGCTGTGAAAATATATTACTCACAATTAGATCAAATGAGTTAACATATTAAAGTGTAGTTCACTCAAAAATTAACATTGTTATTAATTACTCATCCTTATGTTGTGCTGAGGCCATTCATCATCGTAAAAAAAAATGAAGATATTTTAGGTGAATTCTGAGAGTTTAGTCATCATACATAGACAGCAATATTCCTGACATGTTCAATAGTCCAGAAAAATAGCAAACAACATCCTCAAAACAGACCATATGCCTTCAGTGGTTCAACCGGAAAATTAACAAGCTACAAGAATACTTTTGTGCACACAAAAATACCTACTTTATATAAATTTAGGGCATGCGTTCACATGTTATGTGCTGGTGTGATGTATTACCCCAGATGCAAGGAAGTTGTGTGTGGGTCCCCGGGGGATATAAGTTGAGCAATATACCGGGGGGAAATAAGTATTGAACATGTCACTTTTTTTACAGAAAACATATTTCTAAAGGTGCTGTTGGTTTGAAATTTTCCCCGGATGTTGGTAACAACTGAAGAAATCAACATATGTAAAGAAAACAAATCTAATTAGTTTCCAAGGGAAGTGTAGAAAGGCAGTGAAAGCCCAGACAGGAATTGAAATCACTCTATAGTTATTTATCAATCCTTTGCCCTTCCTCATTGTAAATGAATATTAGCTGCTTCAGTTCAACATCTACATTATCAGGAATATGAAGTTGAAACTAGGGTGGACCTTTTAGCAAAAAAATGATCTATTGTAAAACATAGCCAAAAAAACTCTCAAATGCTTTCAAAGAAAGAAAATCAAGCTGTAGAATGGCCCAGCCAATCACCTGACTTAAGTCCAATAGAAAATACAAATTAAAGATCAGATTTAATAGATGAGACCCACAGAACCATCAAGATTTTTACACTCGGCTGAAATCTGTGAAAAAATCGCCCCTGAGCAATTCATGTAACTTCATTCTCCATATGAGAGGCGTCTTTAAGCTGCCATAACCAAAAAAGCCTTTTATATAAAGTATTAAATACATTTCAGAAGTTCACTACTTTCTTCTTGTGTCATTTCATTGTTATTACACATAACTTATTATTCAGTTTTGTTTTTTTAGTTTTTTAAAATATTTTTATGTTTGTATTGTTTGGTTTTTACCAAAATCTGGTTCAATTCTATGTAAACAGCTTCTTTAGTAGGATTATTCCCAGAAAAAAACATAACGTTCAATGCTTATATTCCCCGCTGTACTGACACTGAGGAGAAACTGTTCAATGAGGTTGTTGTGTTTGTTATATATGTGTACAAATGTACTTAGTTTGATAATATTTTGATTGAACCACTGAAGCCATATGGACTGTTTGAGGGTCTGGACCTCAAAGGAATATTTGGATGAACTAACCCTTTAACTATTGTCAATAAATAAGACCCATATAACTAATGTCTTGGTATGAGCAAATTTGCTAGAATCGTCAAACGTAGATGTTTATTTGTGGGTGCTGAGAGAAGTCCGTACAACAACAACAACAACAACAACAACAACAAAAAATCCATATTACATTGAGAAAACCAGGACTTCATCATTGAAGTAAACTTTCTTATAAGAAAGTAGTCTATGACCAGTCTATCATCTTCAGTATGTAACGTATAACTAGTGTATAGGAAGACGCAGGTCTAACTACAAAAACAGACTGATCTTGAAATCATTAAAAAAAAAAAACTTATTGTATAGTTTATTTCAGCTTAGCTTTTATTTGGGCCTTTGGCAGCACCTTTCTTCTTAGCAGGAGTTTGTTTTTTAGGCTGGGCTTTGCTTGCCTTCGCTTTGGCGTCTTGGGATTTCGGGGCTTTGGGTTTTATCGCTGATGCTTTGGCTCCCTCAGATACAGCTGTGGCTTTCTGAGTGTCCTCTTCCTTAAGTGGCTCTTGTTTGGGTGGCTCCGGTTCAGGTACCTCAGGTTTAACAGCTTCATCTTTGCTCTCTTCTTTCACGACAGGCTTTGGCTGAGCGGATTCCTGTTTGAACGTGTCTTCTGCTTTTTTCACCTCTTCCTGTCTTGGTTCCTCTTTGGCAGACTCTGGTTTTCCTGCCTCTTGAGGAAGTTTGGACTCTACCTCAGGTTTGGTGAGTTCAGGAATTGTTGGTACTGATGGCTTCTCTGTATTCTGTTTCTCAGTGGTAGAGGATTTAACTTGTGTTGATTTTGGTTTATCCACTAGTTTCAGAGTTTCTTCAGGAAGTTTGGATTCCATCTCAGGTTTGGCATCTTCAAGAATGGTTGGTATTAAAGGCTTCACTGCGTTTACAGCAACCTCTGGTTTCAGATCTTCTGTGATAGATTTCTCTTCTGTTGATTCCAGTTTATCCACTGGTTTGGTGTCTTTTGGAAAAGGCTCTGGAGGAATTTTGGATTCCGTGTCAGGTTTGGTGGTTGCAGGACTTGTTGGCTTCTTTTCAGTGATTGTAACTTTTATGGTAGAGGATTCATCTTGTGTTGATTTCAGTTGATCAACTGGTTTGATGGACTCAAGTTGGGGAGCTTCAGGAAGTTTGGAATCCATCTCAGATTTGGTGGCTGTGGGCTTCTCTTCAATAACTTTTGTGGTAGAGGATTGCTCTTGTGTTGATTCCAGTTGATCTGCTTGTTTGATTGACTGAGCCTCAGGAATTGCTGGACTGTCTTTTTCTTTTTCCTCATCCTCGCTATCAGACTCTCCAGCAACATCTGGTATGGGATTTAGCAGGGAAGCTGCAAAATCCTGTAAACGAACCTGTTCTGCTCGCAGCTTCTCCATCTCTGCAGTCAACATGGGATTGGGAGTCTGGACGAGCTCTGGAAGTTCATCTATCGGTGGTATGTCCACCACAGGTGCTGCCGTCATCTTCTCTGGGAACCGTATCTCTTTAATCTTGGCGTACAAACTTTTCCTTTCATCCTGCAATGCTCGACAGAGTGTCTCCAGACGGTCGATTTTCAGTGTGAAGAGCTCAAACTCTTTGCCCTTTTCCGATCTCTGTCAGAAAGGAAGTAATCGGTTAGGAAGCAAAAAGATAATGGTCAAGTGCTGACAAGTTAATGTGTGTTATTCACCTCGTCAATCATTTCCACAAGCGCTTTGTTGCAGCTTTCAAACCGCGTTTTCCATGTAGTGGACTCCTTTTCCAGCTTTTTCATCTTCTTTGTCATCTGTTCGCGTGAAAACAAGATCAACATTTTGTAAAAACCTTTCACTTTGTTCAATGCTAAAAAGTCTTTAAATACTTTTAAGAAGCATTTCTGACAAATTTTCCTAGGTGAAATGTCTGAAGCTAGAATCATTTCCTAAAAACAACACTACATAAAATATTTATATTCATCTTCAAGGAAAGTATATTTAATATGAGTACAGTTTTTTTTACTGCACTTGCAGGTTTGTTCACATTTTTGAAGTAGATAATGTAATGGATAACATGCTAGACCAGGGGTGCTCAATCCTGTTCCTGGAGATCTACCTTCCTGTACAGTTTAGCTCCTACCCTGTTCAAACCCACCTAAACCAATTAATTAGGACCTGAAATCCACTTGATAATTACAGACAGGTGTGTTTGATAAGGGTTGCAACTGAAATCTGCACTAAGGTAGATCTCCAGGAACAGGATTGGCCACCCCTGTGCTAGACGCATTTTCTGGCCACTTTATTAGGTACACCTTACTAGTTCCGGGTTGGACCCCTTTGCCTTCAGATCTGTCTTTATCCTTCTTGGCATAGTTTTAAGAAGGCACTGTAAATATTCCTCAGAGATTTTAGTCCATATTAACATGATAGCATCACACAGTTGCTGTAGATTTGTCTTCTGCACATCCATGATGCAAATCTCTCGTTCCACCACATCCCAATGGTGCTCTATTGGATTGAGACTGGTGACTGAGGAAGCCATTTAAGTAAAGTGAACTCATTGTCATGTTCAAGAAACCAGTCTGAGTTGATTCGCACTTTATGACATGGCACATTATTCTGCTGGAAGTAGCCATCAGAAGATCAGTACACTGTGGTCATAAAGGGATGAACATGGTCAGTAACAATACTCAATTGGTACTAATGGGCCAAAGTGTGCCAAGAAAATATCCCTCAAACATTACACCACCACCACCAGTCTGAATCGTTAATACAAGGCATGATGGATCGATGCTTTCATGTTGTTAACACCAAATTCTGACTCTACCATCTGAATGTTGCAGCAGAAATCGAGACTCATCAGACCAGGCAACATTTTTCCAATCGTCTATTGTCCAATTTTGGTGAACCTGTGCGAATTGTAGTTTCCTGTTCTTAGCTGACAGGAGTAGCACCCTGTCTGGTCTTCTGCTGCTGTAGCCCATCCGCCTCAAGGTTTGACGTGTTGTGCGTTCAGAGATGCTCTTCTGCAAACCTCGGTTGTAACGAGTGCCATGTGATTGGCTGTTTAGAAATTTGTGTTAACAAGCAGTTGGAGAGGTGAGCCTAACAAAGTGGCCAGTGAGTGTATATTATCCTGCTTATTGCAAGGCTACTTGTCACAAAAGTAAACGATTAAACATAAAACATTGATCTGAACTACAATAATTATCTCTTCAACTAAAAGCAGAAACAAAAATGGCTAAATGCAGTCAACATTAACTTATTATTTAATCACAAGATGATTCCAAACTGTCAGGAACAGTGGTGTGAAAGAAAAGTATGTAAATATAGACTAGTAATGGGTCGTTCCTGAACGATTCGTTCATTTTGAACGAATATTCAACATGACTCGGGAACTACGAGTCCTCTTAGAGAGGGATTCGTTCATCCGCGCTTGCTCACATTTGTGCAGGTGGTATCGTTCATTTCAAGCCTTTTGAGTCGATCATCACGTAAAGGCAGAAGCCAGTCATATGTGTTTAGAGTTGGAAAAAGAATTGATCCGTTCATCTCTCGAGTCCTCTATCGGGTCTAAGTCTTTCTGTCACGTGATGAACGAACGAATCAAGAACTAGAAAACACGAAACTCGAAAGGTGAACTAATTATCATGGCTCCTATTGACTCAGACTGTGTACATTGGTTAAGATTATATGTGGCTGTCAGTGTAACGTGAACGAACCTCTGACATTTTAAGACATGAAAAGGTGAGCTGAGCAAAGAGACAACAATACCTTCATAGACAAAAGAGCAGGTAAACATTGAACTATTATTTTCTCCTTCTTATAGCATTGTATTTATGACTTATTTGTCATGTGATCAACCTTTGGGCTAGTCGTGGATGTGTTTGGAGGCAATTCGTAACATTTTAATGATATTTTGGCAAATTAAACCAAATGAACGAAACGACTCGAAAAAAAGATTCGTTCATCTCGATGAACGAGACTCAAAGATCAGAGTCAGTAAAATGATCCGAACTTTCCATCACTAATATAGACAGACAAGATGAATGGAAGTACCCAAATGAACCTTTGTTATGAGTTTCAGTAGTTGTTATCTGGAAATAGCATACCTTGGAAATTCATGATTGACCAATCAGAATCAGGTATTCCAAATAGACACACACATTCTAATTAACAGACTACACTCAAAAAATTACATTTGCTGTTTGTTCAATCTACTTATTTGAAATGTATTTTTATTAATTTTGTTATGGGTGGTAACTTAATTGTTTTATGTTCAATCCACTTAAATTTGTAGAAACTAATAGGTTAACTTAAGTTCTTCATGTTGTCCTAACACAAATCGATTGTGTGGAACCCAGCATTTTCACAGTGTATAAAAGTGAAACAACAAACCTTATCCATTTCCTGTTTGAAGGTGACATAAATCTCATTGCTTTTGGCCAGAGTGTTCTGGAAGTCATCAAACTTCTGGGAGTACAACACAAGCTGTAACAAAATGATTGAAATTAGCATCATTTAGAAAAGCTGAATGTAAAATAATGTATAGAAGTTAAATCCATAAACAGTATGAGAAACATGCATGATTTGATGAACATTATAGCTGTTCTTCATCCGCTTATCCTTCACTTCATTAGTTTGTTTTAATACTGTAATAATGGTCTTAATTCTCACACCAGACTGTGCAAACATATCTATAGAAAAGATGTTTAAATCTTTCCTGTGTGTAGACCCTATAAAACAAAAAGCATTCATATATGATATCAGCTGCTTCACTTTAAGCAGTGCGTCTGTAATTAGTTTCATTTTAACACCATAATGCTTTAAATAAGCAAGCACGCTCTGTAGTGACTCATTTCATCCAGATCTTCTTGACCGTTTAACACAGAAGACACTTGTGAACTCTAATAATTTACTGCCATATATATTTTTGTCTGTTGTCGCAGTAGAGCAGTGAGAGGGAGGAAGCTTTCATACATCGAGTCATAACCACAAGCGTCAAGAGCATCGTCAGCTCTGTGTTGATTAAGAGACATTTCCTTGCAGAATCATACACTGTCTGCATCCTTTCTTTTCTAGATCGTTCTGTCTGTCTGTCTGTCTGTCTGTCTATGTGTCTCTGTCTGTCTGTGTTAGTGTCACTCAGTTAGTCTATCTGTCTGTCTGTCTGTCTGTCTGTCCATCCTTCCATCTAACCATCTTTCTGTCTGTCTGTCTGTCTGTCTGTCTGTCTGTCTGTCTGTCTATCTATCTGTCTATCTATCTGTATATATGTCTATGTGTCTGTCTGTCTGTCTGTCTGTCTGTCTGTCTGTCTGTCTGTCTGTCTGTCTGTCTGTCTGTCTGTCTGTCTGTCTGTCTGTCTGTCTGTCTGTCTATCTATCTATCTATCTATCTATCTATCTATCTATCTATCTATCTATCTATTTGTCTGTCTGTCTGTCTGTCTGTCTGTCTGTCTGTCTGTCTGTCTATCTATCTATCTATCTGTCTATCTATCTGTATATATGTCTATGTGTCTGTCTGTCTGTCTGTCTGTCTGTCTGTCTGTCTGTCTGTCTATCTGTCTGTCTGTCTGTCTGTCTGTCTGTCTGTCTGTGTTAGTGTCAGTCAGTTAGTCTATCTGTCTGTCTGTCTGTCCATTCATCCATCTAACCGTCTGTCTGTCTGTCTGTCTGTCTGTCTGTCTGTCTGTCTGTCTATCTATCTATCTGTCTGTCTATCTGTCTTTGTGTCTATCTGTCCATGTGTCTGTTTGCCTGTCTGTCTGTCTGTCTGTCTGTCTATATGTCTATCTGTCTATGTGCCTGTTTCTCTGTCTGTCTATCTATTTATTTGTCTGTCCGTCCATCTAACCATCCATCTGTCTGTTTGTCTGTCTGTCTTATAATTATTAAGTCTCTCCCTTGTTCAAAATGATATCCCTGAATCATAATGTGCCCCACATTTGAAGTTGGAAAACCTCAGTCCTCCTCTGCTGTCGAAGCACAGGTATTCTTCAGATTTCTCTTTTTGTTTCCTACTGAAGAAATAACACCCATACAAGTTTGAAATAACACAAAGTTGAGTAAATAATGGTGAATCACATTTTTTGATTATTATTATTATTTTTTTTGGTGAACTATTTATTTAAGTCACTCGTAACAGTCAACACAGGCATTGTCATTTGCATCAACATCCAGTCATTTCAAAATATCAGCAATTTATCTGTCCATCTCAGATCAAATGTATTGAGATCAGCTCTTTAAGTGATTTTTCAGGGATTTTTTTCTTTGTGGTTTTTCCACACAGCTCAATGAGAGAAACGCCACTAAGAGAGAGTGTTGGACTGTGGGTAAAGCCGCAGCAGTAGATTTTTATATATTCTGTATATATTCACCTGGGCCTGCATGATTGTGTGCTGCTCTTTCAGCTCTTTAGCCTGTAGTTTCCACTCTGCAGCCTGAGTGAGTAACTGGTTAAACACAAACACACACACACACACACACAGACAGGTGAGAGAACAGAACTGGCCATTACCTGTTTCTTCATCTGTAACTCCTGCTCCCTCAGTGTGCAGTATTTCTTTGTTTTGTCAATAGCTTCTTTAAGCAACTAACAATATAAACGGTGAGAAGTTAATATTAAATGACAGTTTCAGTAAAACATTGACATAAATAGGGTGCAAAATGAACTTTTTTAGCCACAATTCATAAAAAACATTGCTGGGCATTTAAAATAAAAGTTTATTTTGACATAATATATGTGTGTATTTTATATATATATATTTATTATATATGTGTGATACATTGAAACAAAACTACACAACAAGTTTGTTACATAAATATTTAAATTTGTATATTAGATTAATCACATGAATGTTTAATTTTTATCATAATATATAAACATTTTCTCAAACATATACATGTGTATTTATATATTTATACATATGAATAAATGTACACACATATTAAGTCAAAACATTACAATTTTTCTCAGTCGCTTGGTCCGTTTCTCAGATCAGATTTGAAATTCTCAACCTGTTCAATCTTCAGATCATTGTGTCACTTGTGCACATCAGAGAAACAGTTTCTTATTCTTTTGAACAAGTTGCAAATGCTTTTGTACATCCATGCAAATGCTTATGTTCAATTCTCTGAAGTTTCCTACATTATCAGTTGCTTATGTTATGTTGCTGCATGCTCAAAATGTGTTGGTCTCTGTAGTCTCACCCCCCACAATATTTGATTGTTTGTTCATGATTGTTTGTTAAAGTCTTTACATGCAAAATGACTCAATAAGTTGTCATTAAATTTTTTTATAATGCATTTTTAATTACATTTCCATTAGACTTGTTTTCCAAAAGTCTGTCCACATTTGGTAAATTTCTCCAAATGTTAAAATGGTTTCAGATTTTGTTTTGACTTTGTTTTTTCAATTTAGTCAGTTTAAATTAGTTTTTAGAATTAGATTTACTATAGTTTTTATCAAATTGCTTAGTTTTTGTTTATTTTTTATTATTTTCAGTGTTAGTTTTTGTTTGTTTGTTTGTCGTTTTTGTTTAAATAATGTGCAGGATTCAAAATCATCAGAATAAATATTGTATAATAAAAACTCAACCAAAGATACATTTTTTGAAACATGCATTAAGAGGACACAAGACCACTTCCATCTACCCATCCTCAAATTTAAATACAACAGCCCACAAGATGGCAGCCTTAAGTATAATATGTGTGAAAGGCTGCTTCTGAGGTTAGGTGCAAAGAATGAAGTTCGGATCTTTTCCGCGACCCAGATCTTATGTGACAATCCTCCCATGTTTAGACTCAACAACATATAAAAAATATATGGTCAGCAATTATCATTTCAGTCAGTTAAAACATCACCATGATTTGAAAAGTTTTTGTATCAAAACGACTGAGAAAAACTGTAATCAGAATAATATTTTGCTCAGCACTAATATGTATATTATGGATGGATAGATTTGCGCAGATACAGCATGTAGCCAATTTCATTTTAATTTTTGCTTTGATTTATTTTTCCAAATATTTTTGGTCAGTTGAGATGAGCTGCTGTCACAAAAATATTGTGATTTTGATCTTTTAAATATCATTTAAGTCAAATATGGTGTTTTAAGAACAAAACTGAACTTTAGGATGGAAATTTTCCACTGAGAAAACATGCAAATCAAACATGTTTTCTTTAGCTGTATAATTTGAAAGACAGTTCTGATGCCGTTTTGAGTAAAGGTCGGCTGATTATTACTTATTATATTTGGCACTTGGGGATTGTTCATTTTAGACCCTGCTTGTACATGAATTCTTTTTTTTTCCCCCTTTGATTCAAATGTGAAGAGTCAAAAGTAGATCTGCATCTTACATATTCCTTCTCTCTCTTGTGCTTCTCTTCAGCTTGAGTGAGCAGCATGTTGGCTTCTTCCAGCTTGGCATCAGATAGTTTCTGCTGTAGGTCTCTGTGCTTGAAGATCTTCTCTAAACTCTGCAAAAATGATATTTATGTAGAGTTAAAAGAGTCATATTAAATTACATTACATTTTAAGTCATTTTGGAATGAAACTCAGTAAATATTCACATTTTGCTTAAGGAAAAAAGTTTTATAAAATTATTATCCTGTGGTAAAAATATAAATAATATATAATATAATTCCTGTTAAGTGCTGTTTAACTTATTTTTTCATCACATTATTTTTAAATATAATATTTTACCTTAAAAGTTTATTTTTTTATGTGTTTTTTTTGTAGATTGCACAAAAATAAAAGACTAAATAAAAACTTATGATAGTTCACCCCAAAATAATCATTCTGCCATCATTAAGTCGCCCTTGACTTGTTCCAAACTTTATTGAGTTTTTTTCTTGTTATTTTGAACACAAAAAAGAAATCTAAAAGTATATAATCACTGATTCCCAAAAAAACAATCCAGCATGGAAGTCAGTGCACTCTCAGAAATAAAGGTACGCGAGCTGTCACTGGGGTGGTTCCTTTTCAAAAGATACATATTTGTACATAAAGGGTTTATATTGGTACCTCAAAAGTATAGTTTAGTACCTAAAATTTAAGAGGAACACTTTTGTACTTTTTATGTACTATTATGTACCCTTGAGGTATTAATATGCACTTTTTTTAGGTACAAATTTGTATCTTTTGAAAAGGTACCACCCCAGTGACAGCTTGCGTACCTTTATTTCTGAGAGTGTGGTTACAGGTTTCCATTTTCTTTAAATATCTTCTGTTGTGTTTAACAGAAAAGATAAATTCAAACAGGTCTGAGTAGAACAAGTGGAAGTAGAGTAAATAATATCTATAATATTTTTGATTGAGAAAACAAGTACAGTTGAAGATAAAATTATTATCCTGTGGAAAAATATATATAAATATATATATATTTCCCAAGTTCTGTTTACCTTTTAAACTTTTTAACGATATTTTTCAATGCATTTTAACCATAGTAGTTTTAATAACTAATTTATTTTGTCTTTGATTACATAATATTTTACTACTACTACTACTAATATTAATAATATTTTTACAGCTAGTTTATACTATTTTATGAACAACAAAATGTGTAATATTAATATTGGGTCAATAATACTGACCTTAGCATTTTTTTATTTATTTTTTATTTATTTATTTATTTATTTATTTTTACAAAAAAAATTAAATAAATAAAACTAATTGTTTCAATTTCAACCACAACAAAAGATATGACTTTTTCCAGAGGAAAAGTATAACAGGATACATTGTGAAAATGTTCCTTGCTCTGTTAAACATCACTTTATAAATATTTATAATATAATAGCTATAATTTTGTCTTTCATTTTGACTGTGCAACCTTTAAAACAGATATTATCTGAAAACAAGTGCTCCTTATAGAATTGTATGGTGTTTGTTTTTCCAGCTCATCACTTCTTCGAAATGAAGCTTTGACAGCATCAGTCAACGCAGCATAACATTTTAACAATGGAAATAGTCTCCATCATCTCACAGTGTGATTTTCACAAGCAGAACATCTTCCAGGATCAACATCCTCTGTTTTTCTTGGAACAGCTTGAGTATCAATCTTTTTTTTTTTTAAATCAGAGGGTGGCGACTGGTTATTGTTCTTCTTCTTCTTCCAGGAAGATGTTCTTCTTGTGTAAATCTAATTAAGGCACTTTAAGACTCTGCAGGTGAACAGGATAAAAAACTAATATGTATCAGCATAATTCCTCAGTTGATTTATTAAGAATCACAAACATTGTTTTCATTGTTTTCCAGAATGTTCCTTAAATATGCAAATAAGGTATAATTTCAATAAAATTGCACTAATCTGTTTCTAGCCCATTAAAAAAAAATAACAACATTGTATGAAGTCAGATAAAAAATTATTGTTTCATTTTTGGCCATATTTATTCATTCATTTAATTTATTTTCGGCTTAGTCCCTTTATTAATCAGAAGTCAACACAGCAGAATCAAGCTCTATTTTATCCAGCATATGTTTTATGCATTGGAATACCTTCCAGCTGCAACCAATCACTGGGAAACACCCATACACTCATTCACACACATACACTACGGACACTTCAGCTTACCCAATTTACCTATACTGCATGTCTTTTGACTTGTGGGGGAAACTAAAGCACCCGGAGGAAACCCACACAAACACGGGGAGAACATGAAAACTTCACACAGAAATGCCAACTGATCCAGCTGGGGCTCAAACCAGCAACCTTCTTGCTGTGAGGTGACAGCGCTTGGTCATATTTATTATTCCATAATTATGAAAATACTGTGAAATAATTTTCACATTTTTGTAAAATAAAATTTTGTACAAAATCAGATAAATAATAAATCTCTCCAAAAATCTTTCAAATGCAGATACACTAGAAATAAAGGTACAAAATCGGTCACTGGAGTGGTAGCTCCCTTTTCAAAAAGTATATTTTGTTCTCAACAGGTCCTTGAATGTACATTTAATATCTAAAAACGGTCAAACTCATACCTTAAAGGTACAAAATGACCATTAAAAGTAGAAGAGTTAAAGCTAAAGGTACTAATGTCCACCTGACAGTACAAAATGGTACCTTTTTATACATTTTTTTTCTTTGTGTGTATGTATAAAACGGTGAAGTTTGTTGTGAAGTGCTGCTGGAGATTTATGGCTTAATGTAGCCGAAATCCTTTAACACAAATTGATAAAGTACTACAAGAAACCCCTAAAGGTATATTATGAATGTTTTCTTAGCTAAAAAAAATGACTATATGAAAACTTGAAGGGATGGTACACCTAAAAATGAAAATTCTGCCATCATTTAGTCAACCTTGACTTGCTTCAAACCTCATTGTTTTTTTTGTCTTGTTCTTTTGAACACACTCACAAAAAAGGTATTTTGAAGAGAGCTGAAATTCTGTAACCATTGACTCCATAAAAACAACAAATAATATTAATATTAAATGTTATTATAATGCGCTTTCCTTAGACTCAAAGCACCACAAGGCAAAATATAACAAAAGCAGAAATAGCACAACAATAAAAAGATACAGCAAAACAGTAAAAATATAAACCATAAGATGCAATAAAAAAGTTACGAAAAAGTATCATCCTTAAAAGCAATGCTAAAAAGTGAGTCTTAAGAAGTTTTTTTAAAACAGTCTAGCATAGCGGCAGTCCTAATGCTGATGCAAGGGTGTAGAATTAGCATATCCAAAATAAAATGATGCTTTGTCGAAATGTTCCAGTCAGGCTTACTGTGCAAGACTAGGTGAGACATGGACATTAACAGCTACATTTCGAGAAAAGTGTCAGTCACTTGAAGTCAAGTTTGCTACAAGTCCACCATAATAACCATAGATGTGTAATTACTAAAAAGTTTGCTTAAATTTTGGTCTCCACTGGCTGAATGATATCCGATATAAAGTGGGTCTCAGAATATACAAGAAGCACTGCATTCAATTAATTCCCGCCATGTCTTAAAAATATAAACATTTATTTTACCACAGTATATTCAATAGAGCTTCTGTGCTAGTCCTAGCGGGCACGTGCGTGTAAATGGCTTTTTATCTCGTTTTACGCTTCAGCAACTAAATAAATGCTAATGTCTGTTTAATTATATTTTAATTACAGTACAATGTCAATGCTGTAAAAGGAACCGTATAAAATGAAAAAAGTCACAATAACCATTCACCTAAAGTTTATAAGTATGGGAAAAAAACATTAGCTCTGCATATACACTATAAAAACTGAGCTGTGCATCAAATACAATGGAAGTCAATGGTTACAGGTTTCTTTAAATATATATTTTGTTGTGTTTGACAGAAATGAGAAATTTAATTGATTGAAATAATGACAGAACCTTCAATGTTTGGTGAACTACCCCTTTAAACACGACGCCCTGGCTAATTTTTTTTTTTGTGTTGCGTCTTGCTTCTTCAGCCAGCAGAGGGCAGTAAAGACCCATAACATAATGTAATCTGCCAAAAAGCGGCCTGTTTCAGTCGAGAGTACAGCTGTGAATGAACGATCTGTTTTTTTCTTCAGAATGACAGATTGAGCTTAACTTCTCCTCACATCAGGCTTGTCATTCCTCCGGTGGATCCTCGTGCGACTAGATACCTAAGAGTCTTCCACAAGGTGCAGCATTCACTGTCAAAACAGGGCGCGAATCACCGAGTCAAAGTCAGAAACGTGTGTTTGCTGTGCATGATGTCGCAGGTTTGGAAGGTGTGAGTGAGGGTGTAGTTTTTCCTCAACCTCGTGTTGTGAAATTACAGCTCTGCCAGACTCCTAGTTACTTTAAAGTTAGCGTACATTTTCTGTCAAAAGGTGTGACTGAAAATCTTTTTGATAAAAGTTTCTTACCAAGGCAGGGTTTATTAATTAAAAATACATTTGTAATATTGTGAAATATTAATTAAAAACATTGTTTGATGTAGGCCTTTGTAAAATATAAATTAATCCTGTGCTTTTAAATTGAATTTTCAACATCGTTTCAATTTGATTTCCGTATTGCTCAAATCAATTTAGATGGATTTCATTTCTAGATGCATGGCACCATAACCAATTTCAAAGTTTACTGCGATTTGGAAAAGTCAAGGTTTTACAACCGCTAAAATGTTCTGTTATACCGTTTCCAAGGTATATGTACGTTTTTTTTAATGTATATTTTGTGTTGTAATGAAATCTTTGTTTTGGAAACAAATGAAGAGCGCTGAAGTCAATGATTTGTTTTAAATGCAGCCTGACATGTTTACTGTTCCAAAATATTTTAAACGTTTTTAAAATACAATAAATTGTGTTTAATGTGTAATAAAGTTATTTATTTAATTAGTGTTTGTTTTACCCAGACATTTTAAAAGAATTTATTTTAGAGCAGTAATCACAATACCGTAATACCATGAAGCTGTGGCATTTTTATCCAAGGTTATCACACCATTAGAAACTTGTACCGGCCCATGCCTAGATAGAGTTCAGATCTGTGTAGATTAACAGGAATTAATGATAGTGTTTTTTATTTATTTAGTTTAATGTACTTTTAATTTATGTATGTATATTATTCATATGTTTTTTTTTTCCAAAAAGAAAAGATGAAAGACAAATGAATAGCTTTTTGTAAGCAATAAATTGATCATTATTTTGTGATTATTTAATTATTGCTAATAACAAGATACAATATTACTAATTAACCCCAAGTGGTATCAGCTTTGGATAGCATGCATAAATTGCTTACTAAAATTTACAAAATTTCCCAATATTTGATTAATTTCATATATTTTGAGCAGATTTATTGAGAACTATTATGAATAAACATTCATTAGTTTTCATCTGATTTTCTGGGGCCACGTCGCGGTGTCAGCAGTCTCAGGAGTGAACCCCAGACTTCCCTCTTCCCAGACATTTCCTCCAGCTCCTCATGGATCATCTAGAGGCATTAACAGGCCAGCCTAGAGACTTGGGTACACCTACCTAGGTAGCGTCCAGAAGGCATCCGAAACAGATACCCAAGCCACCTCAGCTGACCTCTCTCCATGTGGAGGAGCAGCGGCTCAACTCCAAACTCCTCCCAGGTGACAGAGCTCTTCACCCTATCTATAATGCCCGATTCACACGGGGCTTCAGTGTCAACGCTTGACAGAATTTGGGGCAGACGCGATTGTTATAGCAGCATCAGCCAATGAAATAAGTCCGCAATCGGCTTACTGCCTGAGCTGGGGTATTTGCATAAATCATTCTGATTGGCTGACGCTTCTGTTGGCGCTTGAATAGTTGAGGAATTCTCAACTTTTGCAGCGGCCAATGCCACTGAAGCAGTGCAGACGGACTCAATACAATTCGGCAACACTTGACGTCACCCATTCAAAGTGAATGGGTAGCGTTGACACTGACACTGAAAAAAAAAAGTTAATTATGAACAACTTTTGACTGTCAGAGTTGGTGCAGAATTTGACTTAAGTGTGTAATGGCTCAGGTAAAAAGATCCAATCAGATGCATTTTCAGACATCTTGCAATCACTTATAATGCAAGCGTACCAAAATCTAATCCGCACTGTGCCTTGCGATGCAGCTTTAAATGGATCTGCGGCCGAATCGCTTTGACAGATGTTCTAGATATTGGGATGTTTGAAACGGTCGGTTCTTTTTGATGGCTTTCGCTGTCCACTGGCTGCACGGGTCTTTGGTCTACTTACCACCTAAAGCACATATTTATTTCTGGGCTCATATTAACAGGTTACAGTATTCACACTGTCCGTGCTGTGTTGAAGAGCACAGCAGCAGTGTGGCTGAAAATAGAGTCCTCTATGCAGCAGAAACACTGTGAACGCTGGGCCTGCTGAAGCACTGCTTATGTGTGAAGTTTAAAGTGCCCCATTATGCTGTTTTTAGAAAGCCTTCTACAATAGATTTACATCCAAGGTAAAAAAAAAAAACATTTTCTCATAAAATGCATTGAATCATCAACTCTAGACTACATTTACTGTATGAGACAGCAGTGTGCTAAATGTACTTTTTAAAAACTATTGCATGTAGACAACTAATTTGTCAAAGTGATCCATTTACATAGAACATAAATAGAATAAAATGCTGTTTTCTACATGTCAGGCCAGCAGTTGGCAATGTCACCTTGTTAAGAAAAACACTACGTGCCTGCAAATACAGTGCTGTAGTTTAGTACTGTTAAGTACTCACTCATGTCTACAGACTGAACATGATGTCACCGTTTTTTTAGAAAATCCTTTCTTTCATCTTATGCATGCATTGGAAATATAATGATATCTTTTCAAAAAACGTGAAGCAGATTGACATTGTTGTGCAAATAAATGATCAAAATGCTTAAAATGTAGAGCTGCATGAAAATCGCAATAAAAAAAAACAGAGCACCATTTCTTTAACGATAGTGAGTAGGGAAAAAGAGAAGAAAAAAACTAGAAAAAGAGAAGAAAAAAACACAAATATACACAGCCAGGCTCATTCAAAGTAAAATCCTCAGTCTACACTTTTTTGCAAAACCTGAATTACATCGCTTCGGTTATATTTGATTGAGGTAAAGTTAGTTTTAAATCCAGACATTTCAGACTTTCTTTTTAATAATATAGTTTCACGAAAATGTTCTTTGGAATTTCTAAATATGGTAATCATATTAGCAGCCAACGACTTTCAAAGTACAACATTGTTCATTAATTAGTGCTAATGTCGTTTTGAAGTCATGCTTTCATGCGATTTCAGAGCGAATATTCAAAGTAGCATGCATTGTAAACAATATAGGCACCGTGTCACAAATTGTCAAAAATGAACGAATATAACCAACTAAATATGAAATATAACCAATAAATATACTTTTCAGATCAAAAATCCACTAAAGGCCACTGTCTACATTTTTTGCTAATCTGAAATACGTTACTTAGGGTACGTTTTGTTGTATGTTCAGATCACTTATCGAGACACTGACCTAAACCCAATCAAAAATACATACAGAAGCAGTATGACCTCTGTTTATACAGTTCATTGCATGTCGTTGCATTGTACTTAAAATATAAATAACGTATAAAGTTGAACCTAATCTAATAATTGGCGTGACTCACGCGAGTGATGTTTTCTTTGTTGCAACCATTGTATTGACCTTATTCTAAATGCGGAAGTGTGCCTGTTTTCGCGATTGTCTTAGAACTTCTGATTCAGTCACCTATGGGAGAAATGACAAGGAATAATAAACGGCAGAAAATGGCCAAACTACTTGCTCAACAAACAAATGTTTGCATGACTACACAGACCAAGTAGCATAATATAATAAGAAAATATTAAATTGCAACATCAAGCAGCGTAACGAGCAGTTGTTAACGTCAAAAAATGAATGGAAGTGAATGTGACCGGAAGTCGCGAGACAAAAAGATTCAAATGGCAGCGCCCACTCGTCAGCTGAGAATAAGGTGAATATCCAGTATATTGTATATCCATTGCCACTGTGACACCAACAAAGCGATCACTCATATCTAGTGTCTCATACAACCATATGACCTCTCGTGGAAGCTCCACGAGTCTCCTGCATATTCATACCATGTTCATATCTAAACTCGTTCCTGATTGAGATATATGTTGAATTCTTCTTTTATCATCTGCAATGTTTTCAAATTAAATTGTTTGTAATTTTTCAGTTTATTCTATTGCTTTCTGTAAAGCTTCTTCTGACCATAACATGTTCACACCTAAATGGTTATAAGAAACCATTTGTTTAAGGCATTATATGCAGAATCCTTTGAATTATGTAGAGATCTCCACTAAAGTAGCATGCATGGAAAATGTGCTTTTAATGCATTATAAAGCTTGAAGCATCAGAATCGGTACTCTGTATCAGCTGATCACCATGACAAGGAATCGGTACTCTGTATCGGCTGCAAAAATCCTAATTGGAGGATCTCTACTAAAATGTCGATAAAAGTCACTGTTGAGTTGAATTTTAAATTTAAATTAATTTTGACATTAAAAAGCTGACAGAGCAGAGACAAAACTTGCAGCTGAAATAAACTTGTGGATGACAAAATACGAAAACTGCTAATTATTATTATTATTTTTTTTACAGTTTAGTTTCTTTTAAGGAAAGTAATGAGTGAATGGTTTTCATGTAATTTTTCCATTTTTGTTTTTAAGAGTAAGATAGGCTTCAAATTGTAATTTTACTTTTGATCAACACTTGTCCAAACCATTATTTAAATATTGTGTACTGCGCCTTTAAACATTACATGAAAGCATAATAAGTGAACTTCAAAGACTACAGTTGAGCTATTTAATAATAACAGAATTATTAGCCCTCCTGAATTATTAGCCACTCTATAGATTTTTCCCCCAATTTCTGTTTAACGAAGAGATTTTCTCAACACATTTCTATATATAATAGTTTTAATAACTGATTTCTTTTATTTTTTGCCATGATGACAGTAAATAAAATCTTACTAGATATTTTTCAAGACACTTCTATACAGCTTAACGTGACATTTAAAGGCTTAACTAGGTTAATTCATTGTATAATTATGGTTTATTCTGTAGACAATCAACCTAAATATTGCTTAAGAGAGCTAATAGAATTGACATTAAAATGGTTAAAAAAAAATTAACAACTGTTTTTATTCTAGTCTAAATAAAACAAATAAGACTTTCTCCAAAAGAAAACAAAATATAGGAAATATTGTGACAAATTCTTAGCTCTGTTAAACATCATTTGGGAAATATTTATATATATATATATATATATATATATATATATATATGACTTCAACTGTAGATGAAATGTGTTGATTCCTGACCTCCTCTCTCCGCTCGTACTGCTCTATAATGGTCTTGAGTTTGCCGGCCAATTCGCTGTTCTCCTTGCACAGCTTGTTGTTGCGGTTGCTGTGCTGCTCGATCTGACTCTGAATGTCCACCAGTGTGCTCTGGAAATGAGTGGTGATCTCCTTCCGCTTCATTTCATCCTCCCGCAGCCTCTGCAGACTCTCTTCCTACAGGGAGAAACACAGAAGGAAAGCATGGCAAATCTGGGCATATGAAGCCTTGAGTGATGAAAGCAATCTAGGTCTAGTGCTCTGACAGGGTGCAAGATGGATAAATCATGTATTGTGGAAATGGCATTTTAAACATTGGTGGAATAGAATGGATTACTCGTGCTGTGGCTTAAAGTTACAGTCTACAGTAAATAGGTTCAGTTGAAAGGATAGTTCACCCAGAAATTATTTACTCACCCTTCACTTGTTTCAAACCTGTTAGAGTTTCTTTCCTCAGTTGAACACAAAAACTGGTTGCCACTAAATTACATAGAATTATTTTTCACCAATTGATGTCAATCAGTTTCCAATATTTCTCGACATATCTGCTTTTTTTGTAATGTCTAAATGAGATCCAGCTATGGTTACATTAATATAGTATAATTTTTGTGACATTGTACACCAGTAACTAAAACATTTACGTTTCTCTGTGGGTTGAGTGTAGGGTTGTGGTGGAAGTAGATGTTAATAAAAAACAATTTAATCAATAATTTAATAAATAATACAAATAATATTTGGTATAATTGTTTTTTACATTACTGTGATAAATAGGGTAGGGGTACATGTTAATAAAATACAATTAATGGGTAGATTAATAAATAATATAAATAATTTTCATTAACTTCCGTCCAGGGCCATATCCCTTCTAGCAACAACCCTGCTTTTGTGTTCGATCAGAAGTTAAACTGAAAAAGATTTGGAACCACATGAGAGTAAATTTGAATAAAATTTTTGGCCCAACAACTTCTTAAATAATGTTTTGTATTATATAACATCATGCATTATATGACGTTAGTTTTACCTGACTCTCACAAGTCATTAAAATTGAACTTCATTTGTGAAAATGTATATTGGTTAATTTATACATTCTTTCATTTGTTTTTCCTTCAGCTTAATCCCTTAATCATTACGGGTCACCACAGTGGAATGAATCGCCATTGTTTATTAAATAAAACTAAAAAAATTGATAAACACATTGAACAAACTTTTTAAATGCTTATTCTATTGAAATTATTCATTTTCAATGAACTAAAATAAAAATTTTGACATATTAAAAATTACTACATTTAAAACTTAATGCATTGAAGAAACCATAATATAAATGGAGAAATATTAAAACTTTCAAAAATATGTGAAAATTAAACTAAAATGGAAATGGAAAAGAGTAAGCGAAGACCTTTTGCAAGGTGCTTTTGCCACATTATTTTATCAGTGTTGGGTAAAAACGTAATATAATTAAATAAATAACATAAAATTATTTCGTAGTACTTTGCTTGACGTAATATTATAGATACAGAAATACTAAAACCTCCAAAAATCGGCAAAATTTAAACGAAAATGTGAATAGAAAGTATGAAAATAAATCTAATTGGAAATAGAAACAAAATCAACACATAAATGGTATCTGAGATTTAGCAAATATATATTATGCATTATGACAAAAAAAGTGACCTACATATAAAAATCGGTAAATTAAAAGTGTTTATAAATATTATAGTATAAAGTATTCATTTGACAGCAGCTAGCTCTCTGCAACTCTCACATGGTTGCCCACAGAAGCAGGGCTGTGCCCAGTCAGTACCTGGATGGGAGACCACATGGGAAAGCTAGGTTGCTGCTGGAAGTGGTGTTAGTCAGACCAACGGGGTGCTTAACCTCTGGTCTGTGTGGGTCCTAAGCACCCCAGTATAGTAAAGGGGACTCTATATGCTCAGTGAGTGACATTATTTGGATTTGTTTGGGTTGTTAAAAATCCCAGCATGTCCTTCGACAAAGAGAAGGGGTTTAACCCTGGCATCCTAGCTAAATTTGCCAACTGGCCTCTGTCCATCATGGCCTCCTAACCATTCCCATATCATAATTGGTTTCATCACTCTCCTCCAATTCGTCACCTCTCCACCAATCTACTGGCGTGTGGTCTGGTACAATATGTCTGTTATTGCTTCATCCAGGTGGATGCAGCAGAATGAGGAGAATCCCCCTATGTGTAAAGTTGTTTAAGTGTCCAGAATAGCGATTAAATAAATGTAAGGAATTATTATTGTTGTTATTATTATTATTATTATTATTATTATTATTATTATTATTATTATAAAGCGACAACCTTTTGCAAGGTGCTTTTACCACATTACTTAATCAATGTAGGGTAAAAAAGTAATATATTTTTAAAAACAACAACACACTTTTACAGTACTTTGCTTAAAAAGTAACTAAGTAGCACATTTAGTTACTTTTTAAACTTATTATATATACAAATTAAAATTTAACTTTACCCAACACTGAATTTAATACATATAGTGGAAAGTAACATGATATACAGTAGAAATTATGGCTAATAATGTCAATAACATGTCATGCTAAATGATATATATATATATATATATGTGTGTGTGCCTTGAAGTAAACAACGTCTCTTTTAGTGTCCGCAATTGGACATTGCTGAATGCTAACCAAGCCATCCAATGTGTGCTCTCAGTAAACATGAGCTCTTGTTTCAGAAATGCTGGCTTACTGACTCAGCTAATCGTAAGGAATCCAAGCATGGATCTTTCGTCTCAAGAGCCAAAGCTGTTTATTTGCCTGTGTTTACACACGCCGCGAGCCTCAGACTCCCGCCAGAAAAAGGTGAAGTTGTTCTTCCACTTACACACGCTCATCAGAGAGGTGAACGGCGCTAAGGGAAATGACCCCAGATTAAATCTAATTTACCGTCCTCATAGCAGAGTTGCACCTTACACACAGGGCTTCGATGTTCTGCTCTGACCTGCTCATTAAATGGCTTCTAGAACACTTAAATAAAATTGATTGGAGAGCGAACAAGGTCAACGCAGGCCTCGAGGGAGGAATAGCGGCAACTTCCAAAGACATGCAGAGTTCATATTAGAGCAAGAGTTTAATATCTTCAATGCCCGGAGGAGAAAAAAACAACACAAACACGATTAGAACGCTCCTCTGAGTCACCTTACAGACCACAAAAACAGAGAGAGAATAAAAGCTGGGACAGAAACAGCAGCCTTTTCTTGTAAAGTCCTCCAGCAGCTGTTTATTGAATAGTACAAATGGACTGAAATCAGTTGCTGAACGGCAAAGAGAAAACAGCTCCAGGTGCTTTGCGCAAGATTCATAACACCTTTCATATTACACACACATTTGGCAGGGTAAAAAAGCAATGAGTGAACCTGCTATATCTGACAACTGGAAGCAGCTTTGGTAAAAATAAAAATACTGGAGCTTAGTTGAGAGAGACCTTCGTAAATTTAGCTGCTATTGTTTTATTTTTATGTATATATACAGTTGAAGTCAGAATTATTAGCCCTGCTGTTAAATTTAAATTATTTTATATTTCTTTTATATTCTTTCAACGCATTTCTAAAGAATAGTTTTAAAAACTAATTTCTAATAACTGGTTTCTTTAATCTTTGCCATGATGAAAGTACATAATATTTTACTAGATGTTTTTCAAGATACTAGTATTCAACTTAAAGTGCAATTTAAAGGCTTAGCTAGGTTAATTAAGCATGTCATTGTAACGATGGTTTGTTCTGTGGCTAGGTTGCTGCTGGAAGTGGTGTTAGTGAAACCAGCAGGGGGTGTTCAACCTGTGGTCTGTGTGGGTCCTAAGCACCCCAGTATAGTGAAGGAAGACTCCATATTTCTTAGTGAGTGCCGTCATTTGGATTTGTTTGGGTTGTTAAAAATCCCAGGATGTCATTCGAAAAAGAGTAGGGGTTTAACCCTGGCATCCTGTTTAATGGACATTGATTGTTCACACTCATTCACACTCATACACTACGGACAATTTAGTGTACCCAATTCACCTGTACCACATGTCTTTTGGACTTGTGGGGGAAACCGGAGCACCTAGAGGAAACCCACACAAACACGCGGAGAACTCACAAACTCCCGACAGAAATGCTAACTGAACCAGCAACCTTCTTGCTGTGAGGCAATTGTGCTACCAACTGCGCCACCGTGCTGCCCATAATAATGCTAATTACAATAATAATTAATATTTGAGTGATTTCTAAAGGATCATATGACTGAGGACTAGAGTAATGAAGCTGAATATTCATCTTTAAAATCACTGGAATAAATTATTAAATTAAGCTTATTTTAATACATTTTAAAATTTTACTGACCTCAAACTTTTGACCGGTTGTGTATGTTTATATCTGCCCATATTGCCCAGTCCTAATTTTTATATTTGTTTTTATATTACTAAAAGGAGAATTCACAATTTTATAATATAATTTGAGAATTATTGTGGGAAATTTGGGGAAATTATTAAAGAATTCAGTTTTATTTCTATCCATATATTTTAATTAAACCAAGAAGGCATTTTATTTTAAATCATATTAAACTGTTGATATTCACAAATGTAAAAATTTATAATAAAAAATGATTAACAATTTAAAGTTTTCTGCATTTTTCAACCACACCAAAAATTTACCAAACCTTGATCGACAAGCCGAAATATATACCAAACCCTGAATTTTGTATAGCACCATCACAGAGCTAAAAGTGAGAGATTTGCGTTCAAGAAAATTGGTAATAAAAGTTGTTTTGTGCAATATCTGTTCGTTATTCATCAAACATCATTTTAACTGTTTTTTTGGGGTTACGTTTTTCAGCAAATGTTTATATGTGATTAATTGTGATTAATAAGACAAATGAATCAGCACAACTTGCAATTAATTAGATTAAACTGTTTTTTTTGCTTCACAGCCCTAGCGTAAACACAAAGCGTAAACAGGCCTTTAGATTCACATGATGTCAATCTGTGGTGTCAGTTTGCTCCATGTAAAATAAAACCTAATTAACTATTAATTAAAACCTAATTAACTAGTATATTTAAGGAATTGAGTACACAACAACATGCGTAATGCAGACTTTAGCATAGCTGTAGTCGCTGCGACAGAACGGGAAATCACGGCCTCTTCGGTGATTTGAGCCAGTGAAACATTCTCTTTGACTTTTGATTTATAAAAGAAGGGCAAATGGCACTGAAGCTCTGTAACACTATCCCTCTCGTCACAGTGACCTGTCAGCAGCGCTTTGAGTCTGAGAAGGCCAGGACACAGAGGCACTGCACTAACGTCCCACTGGGCTCAAAGACAGCGTTTCCTCAGACTCAATCTCAGCAATCAAAACACTGACATGGCAAACGGGATAACAGGACAACAAGTCAGACGCTCAACACTCTTCAACATGCCACAGATGCTGCTATAAGGTGTGTTATTGTGGTTCACATAGACAGAATCCTGAATGACAAAACACTGAGTGTAGGATTTTTTTTCTATGGATGTAAAAAATGCATTATTCCCCAATATATAGTATATAGTATGTTATACTAATATACACAACCCCAAATCAAAAAAAGTTGGGACAGTATGGAAAACACACAAAAAAGAGAAAACTACAAACTGATTTTAGATTGAAAAAAAAGCTAAATATTACACCGTGACATCATAGCCTAACTTTTCTTTCTTTCCCAGCTCAGATCTGTTAAGCTGTCATAGAAGTGTCCTCACCTTCAGTGTCCTGTTATGTCTCTGAAGTTCCCTGCAGAGTGTCTCCAGCTTACTGCGGGCCAGAATGGCACGACTGTGTTCGAACTGAAGCTGATCTCTCTGCTTGACCAGAAGACCCTGTCTCTGCTGAAACTGCTCCAGCTGTTTCTTCTCAGTTCTGTGTTCGTCCACCTGCACAAAACATGCACAGGTGTGATACATACATCACCACATACACCAAAAAAACATTGCTCTTAGACTGTACAGTATATTACTTTAGGGAAAATCTGGATTTGGAATGGGGAAAGCTATCTGGCATATATCGTGTTCTACTCATCAGTTGAGATGAAAATTAGAGAACAACCTACACTGAATAAATATAAATATCCGTAAATTAGCAGTTTTTCGTATTTTGTGATACATATTTTTATTTTCTTTTATTTTTCTATTTGTAGTTTGTTACTTCACACCATTGAACATGTTACACCCAACTCTGGTGGTTAGAGTATGGCCACTTCTACACTGCGAAAACCTTTGGCATACTCTTTTTCAACATACTTATTCTATTTTAAAGAACTATTTAGGATGGATAGTATGCAAATTGGCATTCAGAATGTGAGAGACTAGTGAAGTCTGTAAGAGGCTGTTGATTCACTTCTTACTCATTAATGATTGCTATAACGGTTAAAAATTGAAGTTGTAATCCTACTACATTCATTGCTTTTCTTTAACTTTGATCAATGCTTTTTCAACAAGATAAAGGGTCTTTATTTAAGTGCCTTGGTTATTTTTGTAAAACATTTTTTACCAACATGCCATGGTATAGCTACAACTAAAATGACTTAATTTTCCCTAATACTTGATTCCCTTTTCATTTTGAATAGTGAAGATGCCATTATTTGTAAAAAAAAAAAAAAAATAATAATAATAAAAACGTCTGTATCTCTGGCTTTATCTCTGTGAAGACTGGCTTTCGTGTGTAGCATATGGCCTTGCGTTCAGATTTGCTTATTCAGCTTAGGGCGCCAGATATTTAGGTCATCGCCGTATCAGTGGAACCGCTCTTAACATCACACCAGGAGTTCTTTTATTTTCTCTCTTTGTCAATCTGGTTTGGGTTCTGTTTGTTTCCTCTTAACTGTCCTCCATGCATTGTTTTTTTTTTTTTTTTTGCCGGCGGTGAAAACTGTTCAGAGAGCGTTTATCTCTCTTGGGTCTGGATACTCACCAGCTCGCTGTATTTCTTCAACACCATTTCCACCTTCTCTTCTGGTGAGCCCAGCTTGTTCAGACTCTGCAATAAGGATGCGGCCTCTTTACCTACGAGACAAGTATTTCCCGTTCAGATCAGAGAAGAAAAAAGATAAAGAAGATGAGCAGAAGCCCACAGGGGAGAGTTCTGCACACAAGCTTCAAAATAAATCAAGGCAGAAGGGGTGAAATCACAGTGTGATCGCGTTCACTCTGATAAAACGCTTGAGAGAAGCACACAAGAAGTAGTATGTAAAGGTGTAACTCATCCAGAAAGGAAATAAACCGGTGTTATTTTTTTCCAAACATTTATGATATCTTCGCTTTCTGCTGAAAGCTTCAAAATGGCAAAGAGACATATTGTAAATCTGAGGAGGAAAAGTCTGCTGCTTATTTTTCATGAGACTATATACATTCATTTATTCATTTTCCTTCAGCTTAGTCTCTTATTTATCTGGGGTCGCCACAGCGGAATGAACCGTAAACTATTCCGCATATGTTTTACGATACGGATGCCCTTTCAGCAGCAATCCAGTACTGGAAAACACCCATACACTCACATTTACACACAGACACACTCATTCACAACGGCCAGTTTAGTTCATTTAATTCACCTATAGCGCATGTCTTTTGACTGTGGGGGAAACTGGAGCACTCAGAACCCATGTATCACGAGGAGAACATGCAAACGCCACACAGAAATGCCAACTGGTTCAAGCCAGGACTCGAACCAGCAACCACTGTGCCACCCCAAACTAAATAGAGTATACTTTAAATTTATATCAAAATGATTAGTATTTTGTATTAATTTTTATTCCTTTCCCAATATTTCCTAAGTGATGTTTAACTTGGAAAACGTTTTTGAAGAACCTTTTTTTAAACAATTCATATCTCCTTTTTGCTGCGTTCACACCAGACGTGGCGCGCGAGGATAAATCGCACTATTCACACGTAAGGTAATGTCGAATTCATTTCACAATAGCTGCTGATATGTGTCATGCGCAGGGCTTTTGTCTGCCCAGCGACTATAACTTTGATGCTAAGTGGCTAACATGGATTTCATTGAGCTTGTAGCTGTGCTTTATGAAGACTGAAAAACAGCCTAGATTCGTTCGGAGTCCACTAGATCTTATCAGAGGTGTACCCCGCTCTGAGATCATCAACTCCTCTATAAACTATACTTGGATAATAGAGTCTTCGGACTGAGTCGAGCCCAGTTTGATGAGCTGTTGTTTGGTGTCGGCAAGAAGATTTCCCCTCGGGACACCAACAACTAATACCACGTCATAATTACACCCTACAAGAGCAAGCTTCTGATTGGTAAACCCAATGCGAATGTCCGCTGAAATTTTTCTAACTCAAGAGATTTACGCGATACGCATTTTAAGCCTGTCAAACTTGCAATACGCTTTACTTGCGCCGCGTGATTCATATGAAACGCTTCATAGGATGTCTATTTGCATCTTTGTATTGACTTAACATGTAAATCACTCGTGCTTGACATTTTATCCGCATCTGGTGTGAACGCAGCATTAGAGTTAAGAAGTTGAGGTTTACCATTTTTTATTTCACTCAATCGGTCTCAGAGTCTGACGAGAGGATTTTTAGCTTAACATAGATCATTAAATCAGATTAGGCCATTATCATCTCACAAAAATGATCATATTTTAAAGACAATTTTCCTATTTAAAACACTCCTCTTCTGTAGTTATGTAGATACAAAGATGCAAAATAAAAAGTAGCTATTTTCTAGGTGTTGTATATTATTTTAAGTTATATCAGCCTAGAAAATAGCAGCTTTTCGTTTACCGTCAGTCTTTGTATGTGATGCAACTACAGAAGAGTCAATGGCTGTTTCTTAATATGCATTCTTCAGCGATCTTGCGTCCTCGTGTTACGTCATCATCAACTGCCAAAGTTCAGTTGCAATACTCAAGACCGCAAGAACAGAGGATGGTGTTCTTGATATCGAGGATGCACCAATGCAGACTTGAGCACCAAACTCGCTCTAGAAGTCCCAGAAGTCCTTGCGACTGGCTGTGGGAAGCACAGCATTTTATATAGATTCATTATTAAAGTTCGGAGATATAACTTATTTACCTCAGGAGTTTCCCTAAATGAAACGGTGAATTAAGGGTGTTTATTTGCTGAAATTCGTATTAAATCTGTTTTATTTGTATTGTGCAATGTAGATTTGTAAAGTCTTAATGCACAGTACATATTTTGAAAAGGGGAAAAACAAATCAAAAAATTGTATGAATGCTGTAATGTTTTAATAATTTATCATTAAAAACGTTTAAAGGTCACGTGACGATCAGGAAGAACGCAGCATCTCATTTCTCACAGGACGCGTTCTCCGTTCTCGTGGTCTCCCGAGTTCGTTCTTCCGAGGTGACCTGGCAAGACCGGTCTTCAAAAGAACACAAGTCCGTTCTCTGCGTTTTTGGAATGAAGAAACAGCCTATCTTTATTATCAAAACTTTAGTGATCTTTGGTGATTTTTTTTTTTTTTCTTTTTTTTTCCAGAAAAGAACAGTTGGTCAGAATAGTTAAATTACATTAATTAGGTTTTCCACTAAAACTGTTCTGAACTTAGTAATGTTAAAAAATTAAATAAACATGTCTGAAAATATGGAACTTTTAGTTTATTTCATGCAAAACAGATGCTCTAAATGGCACCATTACATCAGTAGTTTACAGAATAAAGCAAAAATCACATTAACACATAAATCATTCATTCATTTTCTTTTCGGCTTAGTCCCTTTAATAATCCAGGGTCGCCACAGCGTAATGAACCGCCAACTTATCCAGCATGTTTTTACGCAGCGGATGCCCTTCCAACCCATCCCTGGGAAATAACACTTAACTACAGATCATAATAAACTCTCAAAATGGTCTTTGAAAATGTTTCCCATAGCTGTATACATAAAAAAGGCTATTAAAAGATGGCTAATTCAGTTTCTAGGCCCGTTTGAAATGAAACAGGTGAAACATGGCACACTGTTTGCAGGTTTGGAATGACATAAAGATGAGTAAAAGATGACAGCATTTTCATTCTTGTGAAAATCTTCCTTTAAGCCCTGAGTCAAGCACCATAGCAGTCTGCATTTTAATGGTGAAGTGGTCTTTAGTATTGACGTGAGGACACTTTCCTTGAGAATGGAAATTTTCCAAACAGTTGATTACTGCACTCATGGCACTCAACCATCCTGTTGAGAGAAAACCCAATCACTGTTTATGGCTCCATCTGTGCGATCAAGAGGCGCTACATACGCCATTATTTCTCTAATATAAAACACTAAGCAGCATTCTTACTGAAATTGCTGCTGTGTGGGTTCTTCTACAAAATAGAAAGTATTTGTCACTCATTAATTTTTTCAAGATTTGTAAGAAATTATTGGTATTAAGTAAAGATGCATTAAATTGTTTATGTGACAATAAAGACTTTATATTGTTACAAAGTTTGCTATTTCGTGGCACATTGGCTCAGTAGTTAGCACTGACGCCTCACAGCAAGAAGGTCGCTGGTATAAGTCCTGGCAGAGCCAGTTGGCATTTCTGTGTGGAGTTTGCATGTTCTCCCCGTGTTCGCGTGGGTTTCCTTCGGGTGCTTACAGTCCAAAGACATGTGCGTTTGGTGAATTGGATGAACTAATTTGTATGTGTGTGAATGAGTGTGTATGGGTGTTTCCCAGTACTGGGTTGCAGCTGGAAGGGCATTCGCTGCGTAGAAACATATGCCAGAATAGTTTGTTCATTCTGCTGTGGTGACTTCTCAAATAGAGACTAAGCCGAAGAAAAATGAATGAATGAACAAAGGAAGTTTGCTAATAAATGCATTTCTTTTGAAACAAGGCTAACGAGGACTAACAATGAAGTTTTGATGGTCCGTTTGTTGAGTTACATTGCAGTTTTCCGTAATACAAGCTAAATTATCTTCCAGTAAATAAGTAAAATAATCTTATTTCAAACTAAAACAATATAACTTTGCAATGAAAGATTATTTAGCTTGTTTAAAAGAAAAACTCACTTCATTTTAACCTATATTTCTGTTAACAAAACAATATTTTTACTTGTTTAGAAAATGCTTCTTAATTGTCGAAGCAGTACAAAAAATCTAAAAAGGAAAAACGATTTTGCAGTGTTCTTTCAAAAAATCCTCGAATGATCCACACTTTTGAACAGAAATACAATATATGTGTAAAAGCGTGCTTTAATAATGTTCAAATATTAATGTACAAAGAAATTCTACAGACTTTTCATTCATTAATTTTCTTTTCGACTTAGTCCCTTTATTAATCTGGGGTTGCCACAGCAGAATGAACCGCCAACTTATCCAGCACATATTTTATGCATCGGATGCCCTTCCAGCTGCAACCCCTCTGGAATATAACACTTTACAATATAGTACATTTAGTTAGTGTATTTACGACCATGAACAAACTATGTATAATAATTAAGTATTAATAATTATAGTTTATCATTTAGTAATGCATTAGTTAATGCACTCTGAGTAAACTTGAACTAACAAACTTAATTTCATTAACTAATGTTGAAAAATGGAGCATGGTGATAAACAGTGTTGTCAACTTTTTTTTATGAAAAGGCGCTAAGCTCTGCCCTAAAAGTTGCTAAATGTCACTAGATTACACCATACATTAATTTGTATATTACTGATATCATCACATCCAATCGTTTCTATTATAGTTAATAAAGAAGTTTTTATATGTCAAGTCAACTACATTTATTGCTGTTTAAATACAGTATATCAGTATAGATGTGCAGTGAATTTGCAGCAGACGTCTCTCAGACGTAACAAACTTATTACTAGACAAGTTTTGAAATTGTCACTACAATGTCTGTGAATAAGAACAGAATAAACGGTCAAACTAAATTGTTAAATATAAACAAAGAACACGCTGATCGGTTTGACTGTACAAGGGAAATACCTCACACTTGCGGTGCTAAATAGTTTGCTGTCAATACGCAGAGAGGTGAACTGCTCTCAGGCTGCAGGTGCGAGAGACTGCTGTACAAGGACTGGGCAACCCATGATTGCTCTGAGGCAGAGGAGGGGCCAACAGCATCACCCTGAATTGGAACGGTACAGTATGGACACAAAGAATCTATAACAATCTCCATTAACACAAAAAAGTCGGTAGATTTTTTGATAGCCGCTTTTTTGAAACTTTGTCGCTAGCAGGATCTGAAAATACAAGTTGGCAATACTGTTAATAAAAACCATGTGTTGTTCTAGGATGTCCACGGTGTTGTAAAAGGTAGTAAATGAACTAAGCCAAAATTAAGGGCATTGAAAAGTATTAAAAAGTAATAACGTCATCTGACTAGGTATTACATTTCATAGCCCAATTTGTTTTATTAATATTTAATTTTTGCTAAGTGCAGGCCTTTATTCTAAAATTTGGGTGGATTTATTTATATTTTGAGAATAGGACCTGATATCATGAGGTGTTCGTTCATGCATACGCTGAAACAAACTGGTTACCTGGCTGGCTTGCTGCCAACCATAGGCAAGCTCGCTTTCGTTCATTAATTGATGAAACGATGGGGAATGGAAGTTTCTTTACCTCTGGCTGGAGGACTCATATCTTAAAGACTGGCTTATTCCTATTGTTGGAAACAGCCGCGAGGCTTATTGCCATCTCTGCAAGAAGATGATTGCGCCTGCAGTTAAACTCTTTTATTATGACACTTTTATCGATCAGTTTTACCTGCAGTTGACAGCAAGAACAAACATAGGTGCGTTGTCTGATTGACAAGCAGCACCTAAATATGTTCAGAAAAATTTAAAACGCCAAATGGGGTGAATTTATACCCCATTTGGAAAGTTATACGTACTCTAAAAGGTAGTACAGTGTGTGTGTTTTGATGTGATCCGGTTATGTTGGAATTCTGTGACTGCTGGTGTTGGTTGCTGTATGATAAAAAATTATGACATTTAAAATAACTAAGTTAAATTTAAATCAATTAAAAATAAATAAAATCTTCATCTAATATATTTTTTTTGTGCAAAAGTCCGCTATATCTGGCAACACTGGTGGTAGCTTGGCAACGTCAGCACACACAGAATCTATCGGCACAGTTCAGTACGATTGCCTAACCGTGCCAAGAACTATTTGTAATCGTGCTGCGCTGTTCTAGGCTCAGTGGAGAAACAACCATAAGTGTACCGAACTGTTCTTAGAAGAGCGTCTATTGACATTGATGACATATACTGTATGACATTGATTAAAAACTATGGACAAAGGCCCATTGTGACATCTTAATTAATCCCTCTGCTTTACTTAAATGCATATGTTATCTGCAATATGTCATTCCATTTGGAAAGATATTTCCTTTACGCCACTACAGTTGCAGCTCTAATTCGTGCTGGTATCAATTTTTTTGAAGGTATAAAAATGGTAGTAAAAGGTATTAAATTCAATGGTAGTAAATGCATTAACTAATACACATTCCATATTGTAAAGTATTTTTCTCTTAATCTTAATATTTTTCTGTTTTTTTACTTTTTGTTTTCTCTCAACACATTTTTCTACACATTATCAAAGCAGTAATAAAAGATTACAATTCCTCACCCAGTCCCTTGAGAAGTTTCTTCTCAGTATTCTGCTCTTTGTCTGCACCAGCAGCAACTTCTTTGGATTCAGACTCTTCATCGGCCTTCGCCTCCTCATCCTTCCCCTCCTCAGACTCCAGGATGGAGATCTGCTCCTGCATGAGACTGGACGCCGACCCATACGTGTTGATGATATCTTCTAACTGCCTGCTAAAGTCCTCCATCGGGTCCACCTGCTGCTCCTCGGATTCATTGACTTGTTCATTGACGTTTTCAGAGATCTGGTCACTGCCCTCCATCATCTGCTGCTAAAAAAAAATCGAGTTAAATATAATCACAAAAGTGCTTCATAAGAAAGCCGATTGATTAGCGGAGGTAGAACAGCCAATTCCTTGATTACACTCTTGGCTTGAGGTTGAAATTAATGAGAAGTGATTATGCATTACACGTTGAGAGGTTTGATATGAAATTTCCAGCCACTAAACTGAAGACGGATGGCTTTTATTTTTTATTTTTTGGGCGGTCTGTGGTGTGTTCACATAAATAGATGGAATTTGCTTTTGAAATGCATGAGGTTGTTTGCAAGAAATGCGAATTCAAATTTGCGGGAATGAAAGAACGCTTGATTAATGTACTCGCCTTGGGGCGGTAACAATGCCAATAATTGAGAAGTGACCTTGAAAAAAATAAATGTTTGCGGAAACCGAAAACTGCGGAATAACTGGGGGGGAAGTGATTTTTAATGGTGCAGTAACGATGGCTAAACTAATTAGTTCTGCATATCTGTTGATGCTGTTTTATTCGAAAGTATTTATTGTTTTGTGTACCATGCACTGAGGCTGTTCTATACTAATATTTTACCTAGGTATATCCACATGGCTCCTATATCCAATTAGGAGATTCAGTTTCCCTCGAAAGAGTGGCATGGTGGCTCAGTGGTTAGCACTATCGCCTTACAGCAAGAAGGTCTCTAGTTCGAGTCCTGACTGGGTCAGTGGGCATTTCTGTGTGGAATTTGCATGTTCTCCCTTAGTTGGCGTGGGTTTCCTCCGGGTGCTCTGGTTTCCCCCACAGTCTAAAGACATGCACTATAGGTGAATTGGGTAAACAAAATTGGCTGTTGTGTGTGTGTGTGTGTGTGTGTGTGTGTGTGTGTGTGTGTGTGTGTGTGTGTGTGTGTGTGTGTGTGTGTGTGTGTGTGTGTGTGTGTGAGAGTGTGTGTGTGTGTGAGAGTGTGTGTGTGAGAGTGTGTGTGTGAGAGTGAATGTTAGAGTGTATGGGTGTTTCCCAATACTGGTTTGCGGCTGGAAGGGCATTCACTGCTTAAAACGTGCCGGAATAGTTGACAGTTCATACCACTGTGATGACCCCTCATAAATAAGGGACTAAGCCGAAAGAAAATAAATGAATGAGTTTATGGACTCACCATTCAAAGAATAAAATTGTATTAAATAATTGAAACTAGTATTCAAGGTCTGAATTTATTTATTTTAGTATGATCATCAATATTATGAAAATGCTAAATTTATTATTTAAATTTTAAATAACATATCTGTTAAAATATATTTAAAAATTGTTATATATGTATATATTAATGTATATTAATGTGCTAGCCTGAGTCTATAACTATGGCAAATAGTTATATAGTTAATACTGCAAAATGTGTGTGTATATATATATATATATATATATGTATATATGTGTGTGTGTGTATATGTATGTGAATATATATATGTAAATATGTGTATATTTGTATATATGTGTATCTATGACTCTACTAACATACAGAGACAGCAAAGGAATAAATTCTCTATACAGTTTGACAAAAAATGCTGCTGTTGGATAAAAATGTACTTCTGAGGCTTTTCAGGCTATAATGTAGTTGTTTAGATTGCAACTATACAATTTATTTAAAAGGACTGTGCTTGAATTTATAACATTTATAATTTTGGAGATTCAACACATTTGTGGCCATCATCTTGTCATACTGAGCAGAGCAAAGACGGTTGACGTTCCACCACAAGATGGTGACAGAGACCACATAAGTCCTTAGGGTAAAAATACTCAGCATAAATTTCAACCACAGCTGATCAAAGGACTCGTAGCAGTGCAATATGGCTTTATATCGGCACTGGTGGGGGGCACTAAGGCACTCAGCCTGCCTCACGTCTGTCAAGCCAACACATGCCTCCCACCAGTGCCGATATACAGCAGTATCGTACTGCTACTCATGTGTAATATTGCTCATGTACAGTTAAAATAATTTTTTATTATTTAAGAATTAGAATATTATTAGAATTATTAGGCCCCCTTTGAATTTTTTGTTTTTTAAATATTTCCTAAACAGTTTAACAGAGCAAAGAAATTTTCTCAGTATGTCTGCATAATATTTTTTTCTGCTGGAGAAAGTCTTATTTGTTTTATTTCGACTAGAATAAAAGTTTTTAATTTAAAAAAAATAATAATTAAGGACAAAATTATTAGCCCCTTTGGGCTATTTTTTTTTCTATAGTCTACAGAAAAAAAACTTCATTATACAATGTCTTGCCTAATTACCCTTACCTGCTTAGTTAACTTAATTAACCTAGTTAACCTTTTAAATGTCACTTTAAGCTGTATAGAAGTGTCTTGAAAAATATCTAGTAAAATATTATTTACTGTCATCATGGCAAAGATAAAATAAATCAGTTATTAGAAGTGAGTTATTAAAACTATTATGTTTAGAAATGTGTTAAAATATCTGCTCTCTAGAAAAAGGGGAAAAATCGAGGGGCTAATAATTAGGGGGGGTAATAATTCTGACTTCAGCTGTATATAACTGGAAGGAAAAAGGAATTGATTTTGAATGGTGGAGTAATGATGGCCAAATTAATTAGTTCTGCATATCTGTTGATATTGTTTATTTTAAAGTATTTATCTCTTTTGTGTACTATGCACTGAGGCTGTTTTATACTGATATATTACTTAAGTATATTCTCACGGCCCTGGAAAAAATTAAGAGATCACAAAATTTTTTTAACTTTTCTGGGCTTACTTTTGATTCTTCCAAGAACTCTTTGAAGGTTAAAACATTAATATTGTATTGTATAAAATGAGTAGCAACTATTTTTCTTTACATTATTCAAGGTCTGATTTTTTTTAAAGTCTGAAGTTGTAATTTTTCGGTATATTAATTCTCTAAACATAACGCACACATCTTAAGGATTCCCTGAAAATTGTCTGTGGTCTGCCTGACAACGGGGAAGAAGAGTTTCATCTTCAGGCAAGAGTCAAATAGAAAACACGATGCGTTAATCACGTGTTAATTAAAATGATTGCTCTTAAAATGATGTTGCATTTGATAAACCCTATTTCTAATACATTTTTAATATGCCCACCAAACACAAAGGCTACATTTATTTTTACGGTAGTATTGAAAAATGTTATTTAAATTTCCGAGTAACTTTTTTCTTTTAATTTATTTTGCTAAAGTTTTGGTGCTATATTTGCTGATTAATGTTTTATTTAGATTTTTTTTAAAGGATTCTTAAATTAATCAATGGTTTTAAACAACAAAATGTTATATATTGATCATTTTGTAGTATTTTTTTCAGTATATTTACTGCAACCTTGGATCAGCAAAATGTGTCCTTGCTGAATACAATCAATGATTTTTGGATTATTATTTTTTTAAATAAATTGACCCTAATGGTACACTATTAAAAATAATTAGTCTGAAAAGCTCCTGGCAAGCAATTACTGGATATTTTATGTTTAGTTATTGATTGATTTGATTGACTGTACATTTAATAAATAAATAAATGAGAACCTGCAACATGCAACACAAATATATCCAAAAATATACCTTGATAGAACTTGTATTGCAGAAAAAAAGAAGCTAGTTTTCTTTACATTATTTATTCATTACACTATTATTTTTTAAATTTATCCAGTTGTGATTTTCTACAAACAAATGCTATAAAACAATATTATAAAAAGCTACATTAATTTGAACAGTAATACTGTAAAATAATATTTCATTTGCAAATACATTTTCTGTTTTAATCTGTTATGTGTTTTAATGTGTTCTGTTCTAATTTGCTGATTTGGTGGTGCTAAAGATGTAGATTAGTTTTTTTACTATCGAAAAATTTAAAAATAGCTACATTTTATTGTTTCATAAGAGTCTTTGATGAATAGATGGTGTAAAAGAACAGTTAAAATATGGATCTTTTTGTAACATTAAAATTTCTTTACTGAACCTTGTATCAGCTGAATGGGTCCTTGCTAAATTAAATTGCAAAAGTGTGAAAACTAAAAACACTGACCCTAATGGTACACTATTAAACATAATTAGTGCAAGAAAGTCCTCGCAGGCAATTGCCAGATATTTTATGTTTACTGATCGATTGATTTGATTTACTCTACATTTTATTACAACAACAAGAACAAAATAAAATAAATAAATAAATAAAAACCTTAAACCAAAACTATTATTAGCACAACAGAAGTGATCAAATTGTTAACTTTCAATTGAATAAACACTGTAAAGAATCCTGAATTCCACACAATTGACTTGGGACAGCTTGAAAGAATTAAGTTAACTTATTAGGTAAGTGGATTGAACATAAAGCAATTAAGTTGTCACAAAAACCCTTAAAGTATTGTGTTGTTACAGCTCATTTTAAATAAGTAGTTTGAACAAACAGCAAATGTCATTTTTGAGTGAAGAAACCCACGAGCACTGTAAAAAATGCAGAGTTCCCCACAATTCCTTCATGTTGTTCCAACACAAATTAAGTCAACATAATTGTTTAACAAATATAAATGCACTGAACATAAAACAATTAAGTTGTCATGTCAAAAAAAAAAAGAAAATTAAGAATTATGTTATTTCAGTGTATTTTAAATAAGTAGTTTGAAGAAGCAGCAAAAATCATATTTGTGTGGTCACTGAAATAAGTTGAAACTGAAAAAGTAACAATTAATCACAAAATTACTGAAAAAAATGAATGAAAATCAAATATTGCTTTCGAATTATGGTTTAACAGAAGCATTAAAAAGGCAAACTAATGAAACTTGTCACATCTGTATATCTTAAAATTTTGCCAGTCATTTTCGCTCAGGACATTATCCAGTTTTACTTTATTTATTTGTTTTTTGTTCAATGTAGTGTGTGAAAATATATATAAAAAACATAAAGATGATTCATTCTAGAAAGCGAGCTAGTTAACACTAGTTACATGTTTGATTGCTCTCTCTTTCCTCCTTGTGGAGTGGACATCTGAAGAGAAGCAGTGACACACAAGGCAGCACGAGGAGGGGGTGCAAAGAAAAATAGCACAAATCACAGTGGCGGAGAATCGCTGAGCCTCTAAATCTGATGTGTCACAGATAAAGCCAGACCTGAAGCCCTTCAGCCCCGCGCAGCTGATTTCATGCCGAATCAACTCGCAGATTCCAGAGCTTGTTTATGTCCCAGCTCTGTTGCTTATCAGGTTCAAATTATAGCCCCCTTTTTCCAGCTCGTGTGCATGTATTTGCCCGGCCCTCCTCCTTCAGCAACATGGCACCTGTTGTGAAGCCGCAAGCTATTTTTGGAGCCTCTAAATATGGACAAGCTATTTCTTATTCCAGCCACGTCGCTTCTGATGTCAACGGTGGCAGTTTTACGCAAAGTGGGAAAAAACAATGTGTGTGTAAACATGGACATAATGCTAAACAACACAGTACAAGTCATTCTGAGAAGTGTGAAAGACAGATGAGTTATTTGCTTAAAATGAATCCAGAATTGTTGAAATGGATTTGCCACTGTTAAAAATACAGGGTTCTACATAATTATTTTATATTGTCCAATCACAAATCGATTAAGTTAACAAATTTAAGCATATTGAGCATAAAACAATTAAACCTCCCCCCAAAATCTCCAGAATTGAGTTCAAATCGTGTTTTGAGTGCACATAGACATCCGATATATGACATTATAAGCTATTTACATATGTAATACAAGTTAGTGTTGAGATTTTCGTATATATCAGGGGTTCCCAAACTTTTCAGCCTGCGACCCCCAAAATAACATTGCCATTGAGTCGCAACCCCCAATATCCTCTGAGGTGGTTATAAATATAGAAACCTTTTACGCAATGGCGCGCACACACCAACAGGCCCAAGTCTATTCTTCGTTCATTTATTTTTTATGCATTTTAGTGCTGTAAATTTGCCAGAAAGTTAAAAATGTTGCTTTAAAATTAGTCTGCTAAATCTATTGCTGTGTATTTAATATAATGTACTCACCCAAAGGCTCGCAATCCAATAGAAAAACATTTGAATGAAACCATAAACCACTATTTTCAACTTCAGTAGGTCATATATGGTAGGATAAATATAGGATAATTCTAATGTTTTAATGAAATTATTTAGATTTTTGAAAATCACGAAGTGACCCCCCTTAATTTTCCTGTAACCCTTCCATGGGATCTGTAACCATATATATATATATACATACATACATATATAAATATATGAATAGAATATCATCGTATATGTCAAATATGCAACATGTATTTCAAAATATTGAAAACGTTGTCATTTACATTACATATTTATAATTACAGTGGCTGAAAAATATATATGTAAGCGGTCATTTTTGTGAAATTTCAAAATATATGTTGCATATGTAACATATCTTATATAGTTCAAATTTCTACTTTTATGTTTATTTATATATACTTTACATTCAGTTGAAGTCAGAATTATTAGCCATCCTTTGATTTTCTTTTTTAAATATTTCCCAAATGATGCTTAACCGAGCAAGTATGTCTGATAACATTTTGTCTTCCTGAAAAAGTCTTATTTGATTTATTTTGGCTAGAATAAAAACAGTTTTTAATTTTTTTAATAACCATTTTAAAGTCAATATTTTTAGCCCCATTAAGCTATTTTTTGATAGTCTTCAGAACAAACCATCGTTATACAGTAACTTACCTAATTACCCTAACCTGCCTTGTTAACCTAATTAACCTAGTTAAGCCTTTGAATGTCACTTTAAACTGTATAAAAGTGTCTTGAAAATAACTAGTCAAATATTATGTACTGTCATCATGGCAAAGATAAAATAAATCAGTTATTAGAGATGAGTTATTAAAACTAATATGTTTAGAAATGTGTTGAAAAAATCTCTCTGTTAAACAGAATTGAGGGATAAAGTAAACAGGGGGGCTAATAATTCTGGCTTTAACTGTCTATACTGTATCCATATATATATATTAGATTTCTAAATGGGCCATTGTGCTTACAGAATGTTATCATCATTACTGAAATCACAATGATAAAACCCAACTATAACTACCACAAAACATGCAGTTAAATAAATCAAGCTCAAATGTTAGACGTCAAATGTGGTTAAATAAATTTAACAATTAGGCTCAAAACTTACCCTACGCGTTTCTCTTTAAGTTTTATCAGAAAACAGGAAAGTAGGACAATGAAGCAGTCCAGTCCAGAGTTTTATCAGAGTAAAAGAGCAGTGAGGAGGGTCCAACAAGCATTTGAGACAACAGCTGACAACACGAGCCCCTCAAAATAACCTCCACCAATGGAAATCCTGTCCAAACAGCTCTGGATGAGATCGGCCTGTCAGGATCCTTCTCTCAGGCTTTTCAGGAAGACAGCTGCATGAGGAGCTAATTTCGTAGTATCCTTTGAAGGCTTTCAAATCAAGAGTTATCAATTCACTGATCCACAATTCCTTCTGTTTTGGCACCGGTAGTTGGTTGCAACCTTCAAAGGTCAGATTTCGTTTATAGATTTTTACACACTGTAAAAGGTTTATAATATATATTCTCAGGAATAGGTGCAATAGTACATTTTTGTACGTTTATGACATTTTTTTGACATTATTTATTTATTACAGTTTTTCTCAGTCACTTTGGTACATTTCTCGAAACATCCTTGAAATTTGCAAAACCGTCAATGCATTTATCAAAACAACTTGTACAAATTGCAAAACACCATGGATTACCAGCAAAAGTCTCTTCAAATTCTCTTGCTCAAAATCCTTAGTTCATCTCTCAAAAAAATTAACATCAAAATGACAAGTCCTTGTGTCATTGTGTACGTAAGGGTGCTTTTACATCTGTGGTTCGGTTCATTTAGTCCGGACCAAGGGCAACAAATTATACATTGTAGCATTTTTCTGCCGTTTTTTGGTCCTTTTCACACCACACTGTTTGCTTTGGTCTGAACCAGAGGAAAAGAATCAATATGCTGTCATGTGACAAAATCCACATCACTCATTGGCCAGATGTTATTGAAAGTATTTCCTAAACTGCTTTTTGATTGGTCAGAATTAACGTGCAGGAAAATGCCAATGAAACTCCCGCAAGTAAGCAAACCGGTAGACACAAAATGTCGTTTTTTACTGTAGAGGGAGGACTGAGGTGGATGATTGTATCGCTGGTCATAGTATACTATATAGTTTGTATACATCACTTTAGACAAAGTATACATTTTGAGAATGAAGCGCTGCTGCAGCTGGAAAACAATGTTTTAATGCATTCAAACAATGAAGGATCATAGCAAGTCACTTCAGGAGGAGGCGTAAATTAATTTGGCTAAACTGCGACATGGTCATCTTCCGGAAATATTACCTATGATCCATCAGGTTATGTTTTTCCGTCTCTCTCTCTCTCTCTGTTTAAAAAATGTTGGTAAAGTACTTTCAACAATTATTTTTCCTCCACACCCCATGAGATGGGACAGCGCATCAGACTACGCCAGCTGGATTAGTTCAAAAAGGCACAATACTGTTTGCGGTTTAGTCTTTTTTAGTTCCAATCATGTTCTCACCACAAACAAACGGCTCCAGGGCTTGTTTGAAAGTGTACCGAGACCACCTCTTCAGGGAGGTCTCAGTACATTTTTTTGGTCCGCTTTTGGTGCGCACTCGTGTGCGATGGCTACATTCACACTTGCCCAAACGAACCGTACCAAGAGGAAAAACGAACTCTAGTGTGAATCAACCGAACTAAATAGGGCAGGTGTGAAAACACCTTTAGACAGTTTCAAATTCATAGTCAAATTGCTTAGTCATGTTGTCAATATAACTGAAGGGATGTTCTGATGTAAACTATGGCAAAAGTTTTGATGACAAATTATTGGTTACACCTTAGTGTATATGGGAATTTGAGAGTTTGAGACTTGACACGATTCACATTCAACTTTAACTGTTTGCACTGTAATTTGTTGAAAGGCCGTACCATTGCTATACAGAAAGGAAGTCAGTACTGCATAGCACAAAGGAAAAAATGTAGAAATGTGAACATAGGACAATCTCATTTGAGATGCATCTACAATAGAGAAGGTCAAGATTTACCTTGGAGCACTTTAGCATTTCAGAACAGATTTAAAAGAAAAAGTCTAGAAATGTATAGAAAAATGCATTATAACTAAATATTATGACAAATTGTTTAAAAATTTCAAATATCAAATAAATTATCAAATAAATGTCAGCCCCCTTATTTAATCCCCAAAAAGTACAATGCAATTCTGTAAGCTCTCAAAATATTTTATTTGTTAAAATTTAAGGGTGTACGATACTGACAAAAACTATACCTTAAAATAATCCAGCATTTTTAGAGTGTAAATCAATAGTGTTAACCCAACTTTTGGTTAAATGTGGATAAACGGTTAAAAGTTTTTATCACACTTTACAATAAGTTTCAATTAGTTATTATAATTACTGACACAAACCAAACTAAGAATGAACAATAATTATACAGCATTTACTAATCATTGTTCAGCATTATTAAAATCCAAAGAAGTGATTATTATTAATGATTTAACAAGCTAACTACAATGTAATTTAATAAACTAAGAATGGACATTTTATTTCAGTTTAGCTAATGTTAAAAACTGAAGGAATACTGTAATAAATATATTTTTTTATTATTTTTTTATGTTAGCAAACACATTAAATAGCTAACTACTAACAATAATAACTAACTAACTGAACCTTATTGTAAAGTGTTACCAAAGTTTAATTTAGTCTGACTCTATATTCGGCTTTAACCACGTAATTGCACTGAAATTAATCATTTGTTACAATGTACTTGTTGTAAATACATGTTTTTTATAGGGATGCCGATATCAGTTACCGATAACTCTTAAGATTTGGGAGCCGATAACCGATATATTATAGCTAATAAATATTTCAAAATGTTATATTTTTGTACAGTAAACAACTGATTTTATTTAAAAAACTTCATAAAAGTTTGAACTGATCTCATGAACTGAATAGTCTACTCAAAGCAAAAAAGCAATAATTTCAAAATTGCAAGGTGAAAAAAAGACCTATATTTATGATTTCACATAAATTTCACATAAATTTTTCCCATTTGGCATTTTAGATTTTTTTTAACACATGTAGGTGCTGCTTGTCAATCAGATAATGCTTCTTTGTTAGTTCTTGTTGTCAATTGTGGGAAAAATGATCAATGAAAGGTTTATGTTAAACCGCACTGCGAGTTTGAAAGTTTAACTTTATTCAGTTTAACTTCAGTCAGATTTGTCCTCGGAGTCAAATTTTGATGCAACACCTGAGCATTAAGCACAGATGACTTTATGACAAACTCAGTGCATAATATAAAGACAGAATGTGGCAGACGGTAAAGAAGCCCTTTGCTGGATTCAGTGACTGGCACTCGTTTCCCCTGCTGCTGTTTGGGGTGCTGTAAAGACTCTGTCGGCTCACTATGTGTGAACATTCTCTTTATAATCATTATAAATATGCGATCAAACTGAATACAATCTTACATCAACAACACATGGCAAGCAATGTGTTGATAATACTAATTAATCATATTAGATTACAAACAACCTAACAAGTTATTTAGCACGTGTGCATCACTGCTATTATGTTTACACATGTAATATTTTTCATGAGGTGATTTAAACCAAAATACACAATGACACTCTTTCAAACATATCTCCAATAAAAAGGAATACTTAATAAGATATTAATTCTCAGCAATGCCACACAAAGAAATTACGGACTTTGAAGGAATAAACAATGTGAGGTTAGCTCCATTATAATGCCCTGGACAAGTTTAAACAAGTTCGACCCATGCATGCGCGAGGCAGGCAGTTCTGTACAATTCCGTAATCTATCGGCTTAAAGATATCGGCCTAATTTTGACATTGGACCAATAATGATACCTCTAAAAATAGCATTTATAGGCCGATAACAATATGGCTGCTGATATATTTTGCATCCATAGTTTTGTACATTGTACTTATGATTGACAATAAACATCTAATTAAATTGCATCTATAATCACAATGTGGACCCATCCATTGCACCTTAACCCACCCTTACACTTACCCATACCCATACCACCAAACCTTTCTATAACCTTACCTCAATAGCACTAGAAGTGTTCTGCAGTAATACATTACGAACACATTAAGTACATTGTGTTTATTTTTTGATGTAAGTTCATTGTAGTTTAAAGCCACTTAATGTCAAGCGGAACCAAAGATTTAACCCAGTGTCTGTGTGTGTCCATATTTGACCCCCCAAAAATAACATTTTACTGATTATAGGTTTGCGTCTGGTCTAAAATTATGTATTCAAACAATTTAATTCAAATTATTCAAAAGACTTTATAATGGATCACTGAATCATTGACAATCACTGACCCCTTCTCTGGCTTTGTTTTAAAATACTTTTATAGATATAAAGGGGAAAAACAGACAACATTGTGTCTAAAGTGTAACTCAATGTCAAGATAAACCTGTCTATAAAATGAATATGACAATAACAATCCGGCTTACACAATAGTTTATATTTCATGAATGGCACTCTTACTAATGTGATATTATATTATATCTTTTTAATATGAAAAAAACCCATACAGCAATACCCCCCCTACCCACCCACCCATTTTTATTTCATTTGATTTTTACGTTTATAACTTTTAAATATAGGATCATTCTAATTGCATTTTGGATTGGCATAATCACACTATCTAGGATTTTTTTCTTCGTTTTTTTCAGCAAGATTTTGATAATTGTAATAATGTAGAGGCCTTTGTTTTCAAAAATGATACAGTCAGCTTTATAATGTTAACATAAAAGCCCCTCGTAGTTATTGACTTGTGTACTGAATGCCCAAGGACCAATTTCTCCTAACAATCTGCTTAGTATTGGGTTTTCACAGCTCCTATTAGCATTTATTATCAGATTTGTCCACCATCATTTCAGTCAATTGCACTCTAATCACTTCAAATCATGCAAATGGAGAATTGGTGAAGTGATTAGCATCTCCAATGCAACTCACTCCATAACAGCAATTTTGGCCTGCGCTTTCCTAAATATTTAAAAACATTTTGCATGCAACCACAATGTGGCAATTAATGGGTCTTTAATGTGTGACCTACAGTTGAAGTCAAAATTATTAGCCCTCCTTTGAATTTCTTTTTTAAATATTTCCCAAATGATGAACAAAGCTAGGAGCTTTTCCAACCCAGGCTCGTTTTTGAAAATGTACCTCTATATACATTGCCAAATACGTTGCAGAACCTACGTTTCTT